ATTTGATGAAACATGAACATTTTTAGGGCTCTCCTTAAAATACTGATAAAAAAGTGGAGGGATCAATATTTTTGAAAGAGGTTTGCGATAAAATTCTTAAAACTCTAGTCTCTACAACATATCATAAATCGAGCAAAATCTGGCGATCATGATTGAGCAAGGTCCTTATGTGGCCGGTTGTGGCTTATACAGATTGGCTCTTAAAAGCTAGTGACTTTTGAGTCTATGGTCCTTTTGATTTCAAACTGAATTTTGCGATAACGACCCGCAAAGATTCGCCAAGTCTCACCAACACGCAAAAGACTGACAGCCCATAAAAAAAAGAGGATATATAGAGTATAAATGATGGTCTAACCGTAAACACCCTCACCCGCATCTAAAGACGTCATTTTTAAGGTATATAATGCCATATAAAGTCTAAAGACCCGCCAAAGACCCGCATTCCTTTAAAAATAAGGGAATACACAGGTTATATAAGATCTATAGGTTCTATACAACATATAATGTCATATAGAATTTGAAGAGTGGGAAAAGTTCAACTTCAGTTCTAAATTAAATTCCATTTTCTGTTTTGAATTCAGAATGAAATCCAACGGACCACAGTATGCAACTCTTGGCGCTATTTCAAATGGAGCATTTGAAGTTGGGAATTCGTTTTGGCAAAACTTGTAGAAAACTGTTAATATGTGCAGTGTTCAAAAGGTTTCCAAACTAATTTTATCCTTTTGGGCTGGAGTTTTGTGCACATAATTGAGGTACACAATGATGCATAGGAAAAGCATACTATGGTCCATTGGATTTCATTCTGAATTCAAAACAGAAAATGGAATTTAATTTAGAACTGAAGTTGAACTTTTTCCACTCTTCAAATTCTATATGACATTATATGTCGTATAGAACCTATAGATCTTATATAATCTGTGTATTCCCTTATTTTTAAAGGGATGCGGGTCTTTGGCGGGTCTTTAGACTTTATATGGCATTATATACTTTAAAAATGACGTCTTTAGATGCGGGTGAGGGTGTTTACGGTTAGACCATCATTTATACTCTATATATTCTCTTTTTTTTATGGGCTGTCAGTCTTTTGCGTGTCGGCGAGACTTGGCGAATCTTTGCGGGTCGTTATCGCAAGATTCAGTTTGAAATCAAAAGGACCATAGACTCAAGAGTTGAGCCTATGGGAAAAACATTTATTTGACTCTGACTTTAATTCATGCTCTACTAAAAATTGAGTGTTTTGTTCCACGCTCATAGACAACATCTAAGGAACATAATTGATAGGAATTTCGTCGCTTGCAGCAATATGCATTTTTTTAAAATACACATTTGTCGAGAAAATATTTCTGCTCAACATAAACATCTTTCCAAATTCTATTAAGAAAAAAATCCTATTAGTCCAGACTGTTCTTTTAATTTCATGTATTAGTGCAATGAGATAGAGAGTTCTCTTGGTTTGGGGATAGAAAAATAGAACGAAGAATCTGGGCTAATGGATTTTTTTCATAATTGAATTTGGAAAGATATTTATGTTGAGCAGAAATATTTTCTCGACAAATGTGTATTTAAAAAAAAATGCATCTTGCTGCAAGCGACGAAATCCCTATCAATTATGTTCCTTAGATGTTGTCTATGAGCGTGGAACAAAATATTCAATTTTTACTAGAGCATGAATCAAAGTCGGCGTTAAATAAATATTTTTTCCGTAGGCTCAACTCTCGACGCTAATTAAAATGGAGTATTTGACGTTGGGGATTCATTTTAATAAAATATGTGAAAAACTATTCATAGAGCCAGTTATCTAAGAACCATGAGGCTTCCAAGGTATTCGATCTGCGAACTTCTTTTCAATTTCAAATTTGAACTCAGAAAAGCACATCATAACAATGGGATTTTTCTCTTCCGAATGGTATATGAAAGAAGCATATGTTAGTCATAAGAGAGCAGCTGGAGTATGATAAACATAGGTGTTCTAGAAATTTTTTAAGTAGCTGGTGATAAAAAATTGGAGTGTGGCTGTGCATGGGTATTTTTGTGTATGATTGTGATATGGGTCCGGGACTGGATGTTCACTTCGCCCACACTCACACCCACCCTCCCAGATCATAGTTTGTCATTGGATTTCCTTATAAATGCCCTACCAGAGGTCAAAAATCCTATAAAACAGTCATCAGTCTGGAACGAGAGCGTATGGGGACGAATCCTTGCAGGCTTCTTCTAGTCTCACTGGAACTTAGTAATGAGAAAAACATTGACTTGATCGGTGCCTCACCCTCGGAGACCTTCTCTCGTGAGGTGAAATTAAATGACGATCACTGGGATTCCTATGCAAAAATCGCGATATAATCAGATGTTTTTTTGGGATTGATCCGTTTGGACAAGATGAAGAGAACTAACTTGAACCAATCTTGGTGTTATATCTCTCGTCTCACTGATAGGCCGTTCTTTAAACGTGAATGTACATAGTTATGCTGATACAACAACATAGTAGACTAGTACTCTATCGACTGTTTATGGCAGTGAAAACCAGTTTGAAAGAAAGACTGCATCGTAGAAACATTTTCGGAAATGTTATTGAATATCATCAACGTTTTTTTTCGTGAAGAATCAAACCAGAAACCTTTGGACCTTCGAGATGCCTAATTTTGTCCAAGGTTACTAGACTGTAAGTTTGTTGTTTTGATGTGCAAAATATTTTTCTGTCCTAATGATACATACAATTTACACATGTGATTCTCTGTGAAGAAAGTGTTGATATCAAAACTTAATAGTGTGATAAAATTAATTTCTATTGGGAGTTGTCATGATAGTGTCACTTTTGAGTAGCAATCAATATTAAATTTTGTTTTTCGCTCTTAATTATCATATTTCTTTGAATGTGATGGGTCCAATCAAACGAGAAATATATTTTTTGATCGATTTATCAATAACAGGTGTGCCAAAGTAATAAACAATCGACTCACATCATTGTGCAATGATGCATCATGGAGAAGCAGTTCGTTTCGTTGAGAATTTTGTTCTCATCTGGGTGGACTCAAGTCTTGAAATTAACAATAGGATCAATAATAGCATTCAAGCATCGATTAACGAACTTCACGGTATTGTCAATTCCATAAAAACATTTCATACTTGTGACACGTGTATCGATTACATTGATAAACAGATTAAAGAAGAAAAAGTGTTTTTAATTGTTTCGGATTCATTAGGTGAGCAGTTGCTTTTTCGAGTTGAACACGATATTAAAATCGATTCGGTTTATGTGTTTGATTTCAAGAAATCAAACCATGAACAATGGGTCAAAAAAGAACAACATTTGAAAATCAAAGGCATTTTTGCAAATATACAACATATGTGTGATCAACTCAAAAAGGATATCAAACAGTGTGAACAAGAATTGATTCCTATTCAAATACTCAGTTCACACACATCGAAGATTTTCAATCAACTCGATGCATCATTCATGTATTCACAATTACTTAAAGAAATTCTACTGAGCATCGAATATAATAGTGAAGCTCTTGAACGAGCAAAAGAAGATTTTGTTGACTTTTGTCGAATTCAATATGCTGAAAATAGTGCAGAATTGTGTATTATTGAAGAATTCAAACATAATTACAGTGATCCATCGCCGATTTGGTGGTACACACGTGAATGCTTCATTTATTTAATGTTGAACCGAGCTTTGCATGCACAAGATGTGGAGATCTTGATCAAGATGAGTTTCTTCATTTGTGATCTTCACCATCAACTGGAAGATCTGCACAAAACAATCGACACGCATCAAATACTGACTGTTTATCGAGGTCAAGGGTAAGTATTTCTACTTCATCTATTCTACCATTCTCATAAATTTTGACGAACACAAAAAACTCTGCATTAATCTCCGAATTGAATTCAAACTCTTCCGAAAAAGCTTGTCAGCGAAGCTCCTGATGGCACTATAATGTGGAGTATACTTTCAGTCACTCTTAGACGTAGAGAACAGATTTTAGAGGAGCAAAAGTCTCTTTCGAAAACGAAAATAGATTGAATCGAGTGCGTTTCTCTCTTTTTCTTCATTTCGAAACCTTTCTGAATTATTGGATTGGCTAAGTTCTCTTCATGCATCTTCAATTGTTACAATGCTGCTGTCAATCATTTCTATTTTCAGTTTGTTTTTTGCTAGTTATCTTTTATTTGATTCTGATTTGATGCCCTCGTTCGTTCTGCGACCGCTCGTTGTCGACACATGCGACCATAAACTTTAAGTGTTTTGTGAGTTGAAAAGATAATTCTTGTTGTTCCACATCAACACTTTATAAGTTTCGCTCAATAACGTTTTCTTTCAGCATTTCTAGTCGTTCCATCTTAGACATACAGGGATGCTGTCGATCATGTATGTCGGCGCTAGAATCCGCTTTATGTTTGTTTGTTCGTGCTTCCTCCATTGGGGATGAAGATCGAAATCTTACATTGAATCTGTCACTTACTATTCTTCTGCCAGTTAGAGAAAATGAAAATAGTCAATGTGAAATTAGAGAAAAATCCTAAAATGAAGTTGATCTTCTCGAACATATACGGTCACTCGTTTTATTGAGAAGTTAGCTGGAGAGCAATACCACTCTATAGAATTTATATTACAAATACAAAAGAAAAACTAGAGCACCACGAGTAAGAAAAATGTGATATACTGGAAGAAAAGGGTTCTAGAGATCTTTGTTTTTTTGCGCTCTTTGCTGAGTATTAAAAACCATCTGTATCTGTAAGCGGAGAGTGGGTGAAGTGGAGCAGAAAATTTTCAAATATAAACTTACACTTTCTATTTTTATGATGAGTTCCACAAAACATTCTATTTTGATCTTTTTAGAATGTTAGGCTCAGTATTTGAACGAATGAAAAAAAATCAAGGTGGTCTAATTTCGTTCAATAGCTTTTTGTCAACAAGCATGTCAAGAAAAGTGGCAATGTCTTTTGTTCAAAATGCTCTCAAGAAGCCAGACAAAATAGCTATTCTGTTCGAAATGGTTATTGATCCGTCGATATCATTGGTACCATTTGCATCGCTTGATAACCACAGCTTTTTTCAAGAGAGTGAAAAAGAAATACTCTTTTCAATGCATACTGTCTTTCGTATCGGTGATATGAAACCACTAGACAAGGATAAGACACCACGATTGTGGCATGTTCGTTTGGCATTGACGAAGGCCGACGATGAACAACTTCGCCAATTGACTGAATATATGCGTTTGGATCTTCGCTCTGTTATGGCCCCTGGATATGAAATCAACATGGATCCAACATGGCGACTGAGCAAGCTGTTTATGAATATGGGTGACTATGACAAAGCATACACCATATATGAGATGATGCTTGACAAGGCCACCCGAGAAAATGATTCGAAATTAGCACAAGCAGTACATTATCAATTAGCAGAATTGTTCGCAATATACAAGACTGATTGGGAACAAGCAAGAAAACACATTAAACAGATGTTCTGTTTAGGAATGCCCGATGATAGTGATGTTGATAATGATGCCAGAGGTGAATTCGCCATGGTGTTCTCGGCAATAAGAGATCTGCTTGCTTCCGAGCAAATCAATGAGGAAGAGTGTCATCAGATCATGGCTGATTTATTGCATAAGATGGTTACATTATATCTTGACCATTCGGTCAAACCATTGAGTCCATTCGAATATCAACTCATTGTGGATCGTTACAATTACATTGGTTTCGTACGAAAGAAACAAGGAAAATTGTCAGAAGCAAAGGCCTGTCATAAGCGAGCATTGCAAATACTACGCGAACATTTACCTTCTACTCATCCTCGTTTGGCAGTGACATATAATTATATGAGTTCGATCTATTCGACAATGAACAATTACTCGCGCGCACTTGAATATCTCAAAGAAGCACTGAAGATTCAAGAAAAAGCACTACAGCCAAATCATCCACATATAGTCGAGACTCATTTTCTTATGTCGATTCACTTCGAACAACTGAACAAGCTTGATAAAGCGTTGAAACATGCAAAGAAAGCTGTCGCCATCGCACATCAAGTATTTAAGGCATCTGGCGATTCAAATATGAAAAAGTATCAAGAACAATTCGACAAAATTCTTGCTCTCACTCAATCGTGTGATGAACTCGTGCTCTAGAGCACACACTTCAGGCCTGCATCAGAAACACGTGACAGATAAACTTGCATAGTGTCACAATGATGCATACGATTAGGGCTTTTCTTAACGAGTTGGACGAATTCACCATGCTTCCCATGCTAATTGTGCAGGAGAAGGTGTGGGTGTGAGTGTGGGTATGTGTGTGGTTGTGGGTATGCAGGTGTTAAGGTAAGAATTAGAACTGTACCCATGTCCATCTACACCCATCCGCGCCCATACCCTAGGATCCACATTTGTCTAACACTATTAAAAAGAGTGTGGATATACCCACGCTCTCATACTCACGCCCATATCTACACTTATACCCGCATTTGCGTCATCTAGCGCACACCTCATCCTGAAGACACTGTTTTTTCATTATTATCTTTCTAGTTTCGAAAATTTTCCTGCTTTATACTGATTTTCAGATATTTTTCTTTCGATATTTATTCTTTCGACCTTTCTATGGCCAAGCGATATACTAAACATAACTCACGGAAAAAGCTGTCATTGAAATCGCTATCAATACTAGTTTCAAGAAAGCAGTCAAAATCGGCTACTTTGACATGATAGTATTAGATACAAAACTTAGTCAAGATATCTAACATTGCGTAAACAGTCACTCCATTCCTACGATTCTGAATGCTTTAGTGAAATTACTTATAATCGAGACCTGTATATTCTCAGTTTTCAGACGAAACAATTTGCAATGAAACCAGAATTTACCAGATCGTGGTTGTCGACGGTTGAAGCGCAAATAATTCAAATAAAATGACGTAGTCATAATGAGTCTTTATCATCTTCACTTCAAATTAATTTTCAACATAATTTGTTATAAGTTTCGGTTGAGAGAAAAGCAAGGAGTAAATAAAAAATTCTGATGAATTCGACTGAATTGCGCCATGCTAAGAAAGAAGATCTTTTTACGTTGATCAATTTCCTAAATTTTATTTTACATGCATCCGAAATAAATATCGTTTACTATAGTTTGTCAAGAAGAATAATTACTCTTGATAATGATGTGGTGTGCAGTTATTTGTTCGACGCTGTTTGTTTGTGAGAATAAGAAAAGACAAAAATACCTTTTATTTCGTTTTCTTTTACACACCATTTAAAGAGAAGGATAATAATGTTGAGATATGTATAAACATCGTTTCAATTTTTTTTCACTATTGATGAGGGTGTGGGTGGGTGTGGTTGATTTGAAGACCCACACCCACATCTCCTCGACAAATTTGGAAATCTGTATAAATGCAGGTTCGTGTTTAAAAATTTTGTATCGAAGTGTACTCCAAAGGTGAAAAGTAATTTTTGACGGAAGTTCTTCCGCTAATAAATTGCTTTTCCGCCGAAAAAACCAAGCTAAGAAATTAATCTTTGAATTTCGACTACAAACTTAGCGCGAGTATATTTATACGTCAAGTTTCAGGCACAAACATAAGATCGAACCGTGTTTATATGAGAGATCTTGGGAAGTTTGAAATCGAAGTTCATTTGAAAAAGTAAGCTAATCAACTTGATATTGATTTATCTGTTCGAGAGAGAGAGAGAGAGAGAGAGAGAGATCATCTCTAGTATTCCACAATGGAAAAATGTTCTTAGAATTTCAAATTGATGGCGTTAAAAAAATTGATCACTTACCGATCAGAGAAATATTGTATTCCAACATTACCAATATGTCATTTTTCAAGTTTCATCATAAATTATTGATTGCTGAGCATGAACCATGTTTTAGATATTCCTACCTATAAATACAAATACTTTCAATAAAGAAAAATTCGATTAAAAAAACAGACAAAAGTTTTACCAAAATACTATCAAGATGAACGTTAGCATTATCACGTTCAGCTTCTTCATATTCAAGTTTAATATCAAATATTTCAGGTGATAAAAGTGTTTTTAAATACAGCACCTACAGCAAAAAGTCATGGATTCTAAATAATCCCAAAAAGAAAACAATAAATAAGACGAGAAAATGAGAGATAAAATCGACCAACAAAACTGAGCTCACGAAAATTCTCATGCTGTTCATTTGATAGTCCTTTTAACCTATATTTAGAAGATTTCAATAAGAAAAAGTTTAGTTTATGTGCAAATTAATATAGTATTCGAAATCAGCATAGCAGCCTGAGTTGATTTTAAAACTTTTCAGAACTCATTTTATTAATAAAAATGTATGCGGAGAATAGTTTTGGCCTAGGTAAACACTCTGTCTCTCCCTAACGATCTTATCTCAGAAATCTTGTAAACTGTGTTACTCTATTCATAGATTTTAGGTGCCAATCTAATTTATGATTCAAGAGAGTTACCTGATTTGATTTCTTCGTTCGTCGTCATCTTTGTTTTGATTATTCAAAATAAATGTAATTGAATTTTTTTAATCGATTTTGAAAAATATAAAATATTGAAATACTTTACTTACCATTCATCATCGTCTAATTTCATATTAAAAGCAACTTTTTTTTCTTCTTATTGCTAACAGTATAGCTTTTAATAAATCAACTGGTAATAAAATAACTGATGTTGTATCACCATTATAATTCTAACGATTGGTTTGATGAACAATCTGAAATAATTTAAGTATTGTTATACCATCATTTTCCTTGCGAATAATCATTACGTTCGTTGTTTGAGAATCATCATTTTTTTTGTTTTTGTATTTAAATAAGAAAATTTTTATCTAAAAGTAGGTTTCATCGTGAAAATAAAATAGATAAAAATTCGATGGGAACAAAAACAAATTACTAAATTAAAAACAAAGACAAATTCATTGAATTATTACGTATTATTTAATAAAATTCTTTTTGTTTTAATTATAAAATATATTTTCTACATCAGTAATTTAGTTGGGATTGAAAATAAATGATTTTCATAGAAAGAAAGATGTCGCTTGTGGTCGATGTTCATCCGGTTTGATGGAATTGAAGATCATGATAGACAATAATAATCGAATATACACTGGGGGATCGACCGACTTCTATCAAGAAATGTCATCCTGTTAATTTAATTATCGGGTGTCCCAGGAATAATGAGCCTCCCAGTATTTTTAAGATTTCCTGTCTATTATCACTGTAAGTAAAGCTCTCATTATTATTAAAAGATAGCGCTTAAAATTCTCTACAAAACCATAGATGACTAGGCTCAAAAATAGTTTTAGGTATATTTGAAAAAAGACGAAAACTAAAGATATACAAAAAGCTGTAAAATGTAAATAACGAATGTTCCATAATAAATGGTTGCGCTTTGTATTTCATATTTTAATCGNTAAAATTTCCTTTGTTGAGTTCATTGGTGCTACTTAACACAGATTCTTCCTGACCCTGTTCTTATAGATATAAAGCTTGAAGATGCCTCTATCATTAATAAAAAAATCAGCTTCTTTGCTCGAGCCATAAGGAAGATATTTAATTTTTTTTGGGTAACATGACTTTTGGGCCACCCTGTATATTAATATTATTTTATTGTATAAATAGAGGTTTAATGTCTAATTGTTATCGTATATTACTTCATCATATAAATTCACTTCGTAAAAATCATCATCCAACACCATGTTTTGTACAAATTAATAATTCTACAAATGAAAATATTGAAACAAATTTTGATATAAATTATGGTAGATTAAATTTTGATTTTATATTAAATTAGTATCTAAAATTTTTATTTTTCACTGTAGAAGAATTTGATACAATATCAATTTCAATGCATCAATTTCCATCTTATGTAAAAGATATGCATAAAAATAATGATTTTGGTTTCATTCGATTATTTGAAGTATAAAAAAATAGAATCATTGATTTTTGTCTTGATTAAATAAAAATCTCTTCGTTTTTTTTTTGTTTTTAATTTATAGAATATTTGTGATCTATCAAAAACTTATAACTTTTCTGCTGATATATCACAAATTGAACATAATCAATGTAAAAATCGTTATATAAATATATTAACATGTATAGAAAAATAAAAATAAATTTTATATTAGAAAATAATTTTTTATTCTATATTTAGATGATCATTCACGTGTAAAATTATCCTGTAATGAGAATGATGGAAAAGAAAATTATATCAACGCAAATTATGTGGATGTAAATTAATTTAGGAGTTTTTTTTTTTTTTTTATAACAATTTTCATTTAGGGATTTCATAAAACTAATGCATATATTGCAACACAAGGACCTATGATAAATACTATCAATGATTTTTGGTAGATAAATTTAATTTAAAATGAATTTTCTATTCTTTTTTGTTTTTCGATGTTTTCTTAGGAGAATGATTTGGGAAAAAGATGTTAGTGTATTAGTAATGATAACTAATATAAAAGAATGTGGAAGAGTAAGATTTGTTTGAAATAAACTTCTGTATAAAAAAAAAAAAAATTATTTTTTAAGATCAAATGTGATGTTTATTGGCCATTAGATGGTACTGAAACATATGGAACTATTCAAGTAACTCTAATCAGTACGATTTCTCTTGCATATTATGTTAAAAGAATATTTTCAATTCAATGTGAAACAAATCAAAAGGTATAATTGAATTTTCAACTACATATTTGTAGTGTTATTTTGATTGACATCGATCATTATGAAAACTAGTAGTTTGTAGATAAAACAGAGTTTACTGTTAGATGATGTCGTAGTAGTAGTTTTTAATATCATAGATTTTTTTATATCAGAGTTAATTCAAACTAAGACTTGATTGAATGAGTATGTTGCTTATCATAGATTTCTGTGGGATGGACGAGGAAGCCTCTCCTTATAATTTTAATGACGTTTTTCCAATAGATACTACATAGTGTTCTAATAAAAAATTTAAAAAGGATTTGAACTTGACTAACGAGAGAGTTTCCAAATGATTAAAAGCTTTTACGTTCATATTGTACTTACGAGGGAACCGTTCGAAGTTATTCAAAGCTTTTAAGCCGATATTTTGCCAATAAGTAGAGTCCAACGAGATTAGAAAAAGCCCAAAAGGACAAGGGCCCATGGGCCTTTCTTCTCGAGTTATGGTCATTTTACTGGGTTTATCACCTATGATACGATATTTACCGAAAAATCAAATTAAGGAGTTTCGATCTGAAATTTTGCCCACATATAGGTCTTGTGGCCCGTATATTAGCCTGAAAGTTTAAGCCAAAACGAATGCACTGTTCTCGAAATATTAAGTTTTCAAGAAAAGTCGATTCTTTTGGTATGTATGGAACATGGCACTGTTTTCTTGAGATTGCAATATCTCGAGAATGGCGCTTTCGTTTTGGCTTAAACTTTCAGGCTAATATACAAGCCACAAGACCTACATGTGGGCAAAATTTCAGGTCGAAACTCCTTAATTTGATTTTTCGGTGAATATCGTATCATAGGTGATAAACCCAGTAAAATGACCATAACTCGAGAAGGAAGGCCCATGGGCCCTTGTCCTTTTGGGCTTTTTCTAATCTCATTGGACTCTACTTATCGGCAAAATATCGGCTTAAAAGCTTTGAATCACTTCGAACGGTTCCCTCGTTAGTCGTAGTGGGTGGATAGACTAGAATACCCTGCAAAAGGGTTTTTGCTGATATTTAGTGTATTTTCCTTGTATGAAAACAATGTTTCGATTGAGTTTTCTCTGAAAGGATTTCTAAAAAAACGTTGACAAAAAAAGATCATTAAGATTCATTTGATTTTGATCAAATAGCAATCGTTGATGAAAAACACTTTCTTCTCTCGTGAGACAATTATATAAATAATTCACAATAAACTACTAATAAAATGAGAAGACATGTTCCGGAATTTTTGTTTTTGATCTTTTTACATTTATTCTCTTTAAGTCAGCTACTTACAGGTATAATAAAATTTCTAATGAGAGATCAACTGAAACGAAATTTGCATCAGTTTGACTTATTTTACGAAGGTACAATATCATAACTGATACTTGCACGAAACATAAAGACGCAAAACTACAAAGTCAATATTCTTAAATAAATAGTCAATTTTGCATAGTACTGTTTATAACGTTATGATAACGATACTACGTAGTTGCTTCATACTCGATTTTATATATCCAAATAGATTGCCACTAGTTTTTTGTGTGATGTATATTTTCGTATTGAAATGAACGATCACTTCTAATGTTTGTCATATCAATGAAGACTAGTTAACTTTTTGAAACTTTCAGTTTGTTTGTTTATTTTTTACTTTAATTTTAGCTCATCAATTCTGAACGTCTTATTCATCAATTTCATTTTACTGATTGGCCTGATCATGGTGTACCTTTATTTACATTACCTGTTCTCTCATTTATACGTCATTCATCAGTTTGTAATACAGAAACAGGTGGACCGATAGTTGTTCATTGTTCTGCCGGTGTTGGTCGTACAGGAACTTATATAGTAATTGATACAATGTTAAAAAAGATTAATGAACAACAAACAATAAATATACCTTCTTTTTTAAAACATATTCGACAACAACGAAATTTTCTTGTTCAAACAGAAGAACAATTTATTTTTATATATGATGTTCTTTTTGAAGCTGCACAATTATCAATTATTGGTTATAATAATGTAGAATTAAATAAGCATAATATTGATTATGTTATAAAAACATTAAATTCTTATGATAAAGATTCAAATATAACACGAATAGAAAAACAATTTCAATTAATTATAGAACAAATAAAAACAAATCATCATCAATTATCAGTTGGATATATGGAAGAGAATTTAGCAAAAAATAGAACACAAGCTATTATACCATTAAATTCATGTCGTGTTCTACTTTCTACAGATAGGAGACGAACAAATGAAGACTATATTAATGCATCATATATTCACGTAAGTGAAAGATTTAACGTTGAATAATAATAAATTAAGATCTCTCTATTATGATGTAAAATTAAGAAATGGGATCCTTCAACTGATTAGTCACTTTCGAAATCTGAATTATGTGCATCATGTAAATCCTAATGAGATATAAATACTTTGAAAAGAGTTCGGGTATTTAGGTTATTACTGCTCAGATATTACATTTTTACAAGTCAATTTCACGGTCCTCCTCAGATAGATTCTGACGGGTTGAAAATTTTCGGATCCGAAACTGCTCGAATCATAATTGACACACTCAATGAAATTTTCTAATCGAAATTGGAAAGTCATTCCGAAGACACGAAATACTTTTTCCGGTTCTAATATTTGATGACTAGAATCCGTCGAGTTCAAAATTTTCGAATCCAGACCTGGAACCAACTCGACGGGCTCTATCTCAGCAACACAAGGCCATTGCATTGACTCATCAAAGATAATACTTAGCAACAGTAATGTATAGGCTTGAACTAGTTACAAGGTATTCATCGTTCACTAAGATCTACATGATGTGCATAGTCTCGACTCAAAGATAATTAAGCAGTTGAAGGATTCTCCTCGTAATTTTTACCAATTTTGTGCATTATCAATTCTAGTAACCTATTGTGTACATCTCTAAAAACAATAACTGCCTTTAAGGAACTTGCCTTGATTCGACAGATCTAGGCTAAGGCTTGCTCAGGTGTCTATACCCGAGAGTATTGTTTTTACTAATACCTGGCATCCTCTGTATATATAATAACTTCTAATTTTTACGAACTCTTTTTTATAGAGCTATTATCGTGTTGATCAATTTATCATTACTCAACATCCAATGATGAATACAATGGTTGATTTTTGGCAAATGATATGGAATACTCATGCCAATATCATTCTTTCTTTATATGCCGATGAAAAATTACAAGTAAATATTTCCTTGAAAAAAGCAACCAAATAATGTTTTTTTGATTATTTAGTCTGATGTACCTGATTTTTGGCCATTAGTAAGTCAAATAATTGATTGTGGAAGTTTCATTGTTTGTTTAACAAATGAACATTTTGAATATGAATATATTTATCGAGATTTTTCACTTCGATCAATAGAGGTTTGAAAGAAAAACTTTTCTTCTTTTTTTGATATTAATATTACTATTTCTTTTTTAAAGGAAAATTATGAATTAAAAGTAAAATTAATTTCATGTACATATTGGCCAGAAACATGTTCACCGATTAAAACATCATTTAATCTTATAAATACAATAAGAAATTTAAAATCTAATGGACCTATTGTTGTACATGATCTTTTTGGTGGTCATCGTGCTGGTAAGAGTGGCGAGAGAGTTGGTAACTGATGAAATCGATCTCCTCGAGAACTTTGGTTTCTTGTATGTCAAAATCACACACCAGATGTTCGAAAGTGATTTCTGATAGAATTAGCCCTATAGCATACAAAATTATACAGCAATATTGAGGAAAAAGCAATGTCTTATTGCTTTTTTAAAAATAGTATATAGTAAGTTTCCATTAGAAAAAATGCGAACTGAGTGAAATTACTATGATATTTTGTATCAGCATTCAAAACTGACTAGATCGATCTGAGTTTCAAGCATTTTCATGAACTTTTTTTTATCGAAAAATTCATCTCTAGTTCTGTTCACGGTTGAGTCAAAAAAATTAATTTCATCACAACGTAAGTTTTATTGTTTAATCATATGTAGTTTTGAGTTCTACTATCATTTCACAACCTTAAAATTTGACTCCGATCGTGAAAATAATCTTTTGATGAAATTTATTTTTTGACTCATCCCTGAAGGAGATCAAAGGTGCATTTTTTGACAAAAAAAAACGAGCGCACGGAAATACTTGAAACTCACATAGATCAACTTCGCTTAGAATGATGATTCAGGATATCATAATAATTTTACTCAGATCTCACCTTTTCTGGCAACGCTTTTTTTCTCGATATTGTTATACCATTTTGTAGTACTTGAAATAAAAAAGCTGATTATCATCAACAGCTATACTCAGTGTACATGTAACAGTCATTGACTATTTCAACTGGCATAGGTACAGCACAAACAAGTGCTTATAGGATTAATTCTACCAGTAATCATTTTCAGACACTTTATATGAGAATTCGATATAGAAGAAAACAAACTTCTTGCGAGAGCTGATTTTATCAGTCATTAATAGCACTTCTGTTGAAAAACATTGATCTTTTATATTAATCTATTGTTTCATTTTAAGGAACATTTTGTGCCTTGTATACAATGAATGAACAAATAGAAATTGAAGGTAAATTAAATGTATATGAATTAGCAAAATTTTATTATTTAAAACGACCTGGAATTTGGCGTCATCATGTAAGAAAAAACATTTTCTTTTTTTTTTTTTTTTTTTTTTCGATAAAAAAGCAATCTTCTTTTCTTTTCTATAGGGTGATTTATTACATTTATATCGGTGTGCAGAAATTCTTTTTCATGAATATAAATCATTAAATTATAATCATCGTTTTGTATCTAATCTTCCAATATAAATACATACTAATTTGTCACTATGTACAAATAATTGTCTCAAAAAATTGTAATATAATAATCGAACCTCATGTAATTATTATTTATAGACATTTTGGAAAAACATTATTTTTTGTCATAGTCAATCATCAATTTAACTACGATTATTACGCATTAAGAATAACTCAGTTATGTGAATGAGATGAACATTTTTCCCTTTTTCTTTTTCTTTTTCTTTTTTTCCTAGGAAAACAGTGCTTGTACTATGAACTTTATTTTAAAATGTATCATCTTTTTTTCTCTTAGTGTGTCAGATATCTAGTATTAATTAACAGGTGTTGTTTTTCTTTTTTATTTTATATTGTATTTTTGTTTTTTTTGACGATGTGCGTCGTTAGAGAGAAACGATGAATATGTAAACAATTTTTTTTTCTCTATTTTTAATGATATAATTTAGTATAAGAAGTTCATTGTTTTTCATCGAAACACATCCAACGTATCAAATATTATTTTCATATAGAATGTAATTTTCCGAAGATCTAGCAGAGATTTTAGAAAAAGATAAAACAAAATGACGAGAGGATCTTGCCAGGTATCAAATCGATTTTTACCCGAATCGATAATCATTTGATGAGTGCTAGAGAGTGACAAAAAAGTGTTGAATGACTTAGTTGTCCAGGCGTTCGTTCTTGACATATCTAAACTTTGCTGGTTTTTTTTTTCAACAACAAGCTGTTCTTCCTTTATAAATCGACTTTAAACTTTGTATAAACAAAGTTTTTAATGAGATAAGTTGATTGTACGAGTTTCGTTTCTCTATTATTTCCTTTTTGGAGATGAAAAAAAATTTGCTTCTATACATGAGAAAATTTCGAATATTGTATATCTCAGGTTAGAAGATAATAGAAGAGTTACAACTTGTCCAATGTAGTAATCTCTTTAAAAATTTTGTTCGTGCAACGTTTGAAATCAATTTCCAATTTGACCTGGCAGGAATCATAGTTTTCTGTTGAAAAATTCAATCAAATTGTAATATCTTGAGAAAGAAGTGCCGGAAAAACTCAACGACTCTAGACTTTTTTCGTTACGTACTAGTACTCATCAGATGAACATCATCTCGGTCGAAAAGTGATTTAACACCTAGAGAGGTTTTCTGGTGAGCAATGGTTCATTTAAGCTACTTCGACATGTACTAAACAACTACTCTTAACTTTTCGTTTTGACACTAACTAATTGACTTCGACAAAATTTTTTACTGAACGTTTATTGTTCAAGAAAAAAAAAAGGAGTATTGAAGTTCAGGAGTAAAAATTCGGTCTTCAATGATCACAGACCATATAGTAATCGTGTCTCGTTATAATATATGAACTATTTTCTTATTGCATTTCTAGAGGATTTTGTTGAAGGATGGTGAAGCAATATGTTCCAAAGCAGATAGAATAAACCAATCGCTCTATGATTAATAACAGCAACTACATCATGTTTCACATATTAATCCCGCAGAGATTGCACTAATAGTTTTTGATTGAATGTTTAGTTTTAGAGAATACGAATGATTGTAACAGAACTTAATATTTCATGTGCATGGGGTGGTAATTTAGCAGGAATCTTACTCAAAAATGATACAATAGTGACCGAAAAATTTAATAAAATCACCACAAAAATTATCGGTATTCATGGATGGCTTGATAATCTTAATTCATTATTACCTATGGCAGAAAAATTAATAGATCGTCATCCAAGTAAGCTCTAACATTTGTCAAAAAAAACAAAACGAATAATATCATTATCAAATGATAGATTATGAAATCTATTTATTTGATCGTGCTGGTCATGGATTTTCCAGTCATCTTCCTAAAGGTTTTGATTATTCGAATGCACACAATCTTCAAGATCTGCGTACTGTTGTTCGAGGTTAATATTTATCTTTTATTATTAAAATAAAAATTTTAATATGATTCTTTTGTCAAGCTCTTGGCTGGAATATAGAAAAATTTTCTATTATTGGTCATAGTTATGGAGCAATCCTTGGAATGACAGTTAAGTCACTTATATAATTAATAACAATAAATATAACCTTTGTTTTCATATAGTATGCTGCAACTTATCCAGATGATGTTTTATGTCTTGTTGCTATTGATGCTTTAGTTCGAGCACACGTATCACCAGATTTATTCTGGAAAACTGTTGGTTCTCGTATTGATGATACTTTAAAATATTTAAGTGATACGTCGAAAATCTATACAGACGAATTGACATTTGAAAAAGCACTTGAACAGTTCGTAGAAAAATAGTATAACTTAGAATCTATTGTGTTTATTTTAGTACAAAAAATAGTAGACCTGGTATTACTGATGAAGCTGCTAAATTATTATTTGAACGATCAGTTCGTCGAGATGCAGGTTTATCATGATTATCTACTTTTCTTGTAGGCAAAAGTTTTTTTTTTTTTTTTCTAGATAATAAATTACATTTTACTCGTGATGAATCGTTGAAATTAGTTCGTATAATAAGTATTATAAAAAAAAGTAAGATTCTCTTGTCGTTTTCATAGTTATCGCTTTTTCCATTCACTGATGGTATGGTTCAAAATATTGTTCAAGCAATGAAAGCATCTGTTCTTTTTATTGGGTATGTTATTGTATAATAAAATGATAAAAATAATCGATTCGATTTAAAGTGCATCTAATCCTCAATGGCCTAGACCATATAAAACACTTAATTCACTTAAAGATCATCATCGTAATGTTAGTAAGCAATGCTACTTTATTTTATGATCTAACAACTGTATTTTTAGTTTGAAATGACTTTGATTGATGGACCACATCATCTTCATATGACACATGTTGACGAAGTTGTTAATCGAATTGAACTATATTTCGAAAAATATCTTCAACAATCTTCGATACCAATGAAACAATATAGTAAATTGTGATTGGTTCAAAATCAGATTTATTGTTTGTTTTCTTTTTATTCAATTTGTTCTGATACAAAATAAATGATTTGATGATTAAACATTGCATTTTGTATAAGCTAATGTTTTGTCTCAAGATGGAATCTCCTCAAATGTTATCACCTGTTTGATTTGATCATATGACGATGAGCAAGTCTTTATGAAAGTTTATAATACTTAGAAAAAAATCTTGTAAGACAGAGATTTACATTGTAATATCAACTTCTCTTTCTTTTGTTAACGATGACAGAAATCTATCTTTGATGAATTTATTACAAATTCCAAAAGTCTTAACTGATAAATTTCAGAACATGAGATTTCAATAGTATTTGAATGGATATTCTTCAACTGAATTTTACGATATTTTTTAAATAAATGTCTTAGTAACAGAAAAATTGATTTTCAAGCTTCTCTATCGAGAAATAAGAATCTCAAATCTACTGGTTTATATGCGTGACGTAAAGGACATGCTATTACCATAATAGTATCGTAGGATAGAAGCAGCAACAAGATCTGACATATACATGAAAAACCAGACTTGTCTCTAATGCAAAGTTTCGAGTTAAAATCCGAAAATTAGTTTTTCTCTTACCATGACATTCATTTAAAAAATATCGTACAAGTGCAGTATTTCCATAGCAAAAAAATCAAGGATGCGAACACTTTTCAGAGTATTCATAGCTCATTTATGATCTACTTAATACACATAGTTTCGACCCAAAAGTAATTGAACAGTTGAAGAACTTCTCTCGTTCGATATGTATAGATTTATAACTCGCTACAACATGTAGTTAACCACGCTCCAAAAGTTGACAATGTCCGTTTCAACTAGTAAATTATAATAAAAATGAATATTTTTGCATTTTACAATTAGAAAAATTTCCTCTCTTTTTTCTACGATCAACAAGTCTCAATAATAATACTTTTTATTCTATCAAGACTTGAGTTAGATATATGTATAATAGATTCGATTAGAACCTAAAATTTTTCATAAATAGTTTAGAATTCTGTTTAACTTTGTTTCATTAATAAAAATTGATCTTTCTTATTTTCAGAACAAAAAATTTATAAATGATAACAAAGTTGAATATTCCTTGTGTATGGGGCGGTCATTTGGCTGGAATTTTACTAAAAAATCGTGCTGCAGTATCAGTCACGAAACCAACAATGAAAATCATTGGTATTCATGGATGGCTTGATAATCTCAATTCGCTATTACCATTAGCAGAAAGATTGGTAGATCGTCATTCAAGTAAGTCTTAATATCTGTCGAAAAAAAAAAACATAATATCATTACCAAATGATAGATTATGAAATCTATTTATATGATCGTTCTGGTCATGGATTTTCCAGTCATCTTCCAAAGGGCTCTGATTATTCGTATGCTTATGGTCTAAGAGATCTTCGTATTGTTGCACAAGGTTAGTTTTTATTTCTTGTTCATTAGTATTCGAAGAAATTTCCATTACTTTTTATCATAGCTCTTGGTTGGAATAAAGAAAAATATTCTTTACTTGGTCATAGTTATGGAGCACATATTTCTTTTGCAGTAACGTTCTTTTCTTTGATTATTATCTATTGATATGTGTTCGTTTATTTCGTAGTATGCAGCAGCTTATCCAGAAGAAATTTCATGTCTTGTTGCACTTGATTCTATTATTGGAGGCGAGTTTTCATCGAATCCTTTGTGGAAAAACACTGCTACTCGAATTAATAGGAATATTGAATATCATAGTCAATTACCTAAATCGTATCAGAATGAATTAACATATGAAAAAGCTATTGAGTTGTAAGTAAAAATCAATGAGATAATAAGATTTAATACACACATATGTTAGCATTCCATCTGAGACACATCTAAGCTAGTTGAGGATTTCACTTTGGATGCATCCAATCTTAAATTGGACATATTGTAACTGATCAATTCGAGAATGAGCTAATTAATGTCTGTTCAATAGCGGATTCCAGATGGGACGCATTCAAAGTGAAATTCTAGATTGGACGTTAACATTTGTATATATTTTTTATCATGTTAAAGAGTAAGAAGTTCAAGACTTGGTATTGATGATGAATCAGCAAAACTACTTGTCGAACGATCAATTCGTCGAGATGAAAGTTAGTAATAATTTTATTCAAAGTTTTTCTTATTTTGGTTTTTTATCCAAAAAATATTATTTAGATAATAAATTATATTTTACACGAGATGAAGCTTTAAGAAATGTTAGTAAAATTGATAATGATGCAAAATTAAACTTTGCTTTCGTTTTTTATAGTTGCAATTATTACCATTTAGTCAATATTCGGCTGAAGAAGCAATTAAAGTTATTCAAGCATCAATTCTTTTCATTGGGTATAAACGATTATTATCAGTTCCAAAATAAAGCCGATCTTATGGCTATCTAAATAACTTTCAATGGGAAGAAGATAGAGAGTTGCGATTTTTACCATTGAAAAGAAGAGGTTTCGAAGCACGAGATATGTCAAGATCTGATTTATCAACAGTTGACCAATCAAATGAGTTCTTCGTGGTATTTTGAAAATAGTATTATGGAGACATTTCCTATTCGATTTATGCAAGACCAATATTACTAGCTGGTTTCGTTCAAAAGTTATAAGATTTTTTTCTGAGACTTTCGATCTTAGCGAATTGACCTGTGTTCATCTGGAAAAGTATTTCCTTGTAGGTTTCAACTTATCGAACGATATCATCTTAATAATTCCAAAATTTCACAATCTATCTGTATGTAACGACGGAGTCGATATTTTGGAAATATTGAGATAACAACGTCGGATAAGTTTGAACCTAAAAACAGCGATCACCGTTTCACTCAGCTTAGTGAATTATCACTGTCTAGTTGCTTCATCTGGTGATTACTAGTCAATTGGTTGAAATCGGAGGTCTCAGAAAAAGCCTTATAACTACTCTTGAACGGAACAAGCTCGGAATCAGAGATGTTCACAGGGTGATATTTTCATGCTCTGCTTCATTGGGTCGGAAAATGTAGAACAGGGTATCCTGTAAAATCGATTTCAAAAGTACACCTTCAAAGCGCCCACGTATTAGTTGAGCCACTATTGTCAAAATGATATCTTTGGTCTTTTTCCAATCAGAAGTGCAAGAATGTGAAGAAAATGAAGTCGAATCATCGACAAAATAAGGTGAAGATGAATTGGACACACTATTAAGATCAACAATAGATCGTAAGTGCCATCATCAGAACCAAAATGATCCAGACATTCAAGAATGCTCTTTTGAAAGACGAAGATCTCTGTTGAAAATGTCGGCCTTGCGTAGATCGGAAGAAAAGAATTTTTTCCTATCAAATAGTCATACTAAAAGTAAAAATCAAATGGAAAATATCTCCAGAATACCATTTTCAAAATGTTCATGAAAAAATCCACCTGATTGATTAGCTTTTGACCAATTAGATATTGATATGATTCAAGGCTCGTCTTTTCAATGATGACCATTGAAGCTCTCTATCTTCTTTCTATTAAAAGTTATTCATGTAACCTTATGGTTGCTTTTATTTTGAAACAGATAATAGTTTACTCAAATTTATACGATTAACATCTTAAATTTTCTTTTTTTAAGAACAATCAAACCTCAATGGCCTATATCGAAAAGTTCACTTGAATTATTAAAAAAACATACTCCGAATGTAAATAATCAATATAAATTTTATTTATAATAAATTATTATAACTAATTTTTCTTCTATTATAGTTTGAAATAGCATTAATCGATGGATCGCATCATTTTCATATGACAAAAGTTGATGAAACTTTCGAGCACGTCGATCGATATTTAAATAAATATCTTAAATAATCATCTTTTTTGTTCAAGTTTTACATCTATTAGGGAAAATTTCTTTTGGTATTCTTGATTTTTTTTATTTGATACTATTCTAGTATATTAAAATTTCAAAATATATTTCAATTGTTGCTTTTTATTAAAACAAATATAAACGTTTATTTCAGAAAATTTGCAAATCTAGAAAAGGTTTTTTAGTATATATTATTAAAGATTATTGATGACCACAACAGACCTCAATATTTCATGTATATGGGGTGGTATATTGACGGGAATTATACTCAAAAATGATTTAGTAATGAGTAATAGTCATTATCAAAAAACAACGAAAATTATTGCTATACATGGCTGGCTTGACAATCTAAATTCATTGATACCAGTGGCAGAAAGATTAGTAAATCATCATTCAAGTGAGTCGAGTTCAGCACAAAAAAAGTGTTACTTCAGTATTTTGAATTACAAATGAAATATCGTAATTCATCGCATTTCATTTGTACTTCTTTTTTTCTGCTTGATGCAGATACATTGAAAGAAAATTAGTGATTGTATTATTTCCCTCAAATAGATTATGAAATTTGTTTATATGATCGTGCTGGTCACGGGTTTTCAAGTCATATTCCTAAAGGTTTTGATTATTCGAATGCACATAATCTTCAAGATCTTCGTACGATTATTCAAAGTTAGTTCTTCGTCTTTTTATTATTCAAAGAAGCACAATGTAGTTATCTTTTTCTTAAAGGTCTTGGTTGGAATAAAGAAAAATTTTCTATTATTGGTCATAGTTATGGAGCAATACTTGGAATGAGCGTATATTTCTTTTGTAATCAATGTTGATGAACATAATCACTTTTGTTTCTTGTATAGTATGCAGCAAGTTATCCAGAAGAAGTCTTATGTCTTGTTTGTATCGATTCTTTTCCTCGAATAGAAGCATCAATGGAGAATTATTGCAAAATTCAAGGTGCTCGGATTGATAATAGTTTAAAACATCATAAAAAACCACCTAGATCTCATGATACTCATTTAACATCTCAGGCAGTACTTGAATTGTAAGTAGAAAATAAGCTAAACAAAACACAAAAATAAAATCATGAATTGTTTGTTTGTTTTAGAATAAAAATTACACGATCTGGTATTACTAATGAAGCTGCTAAATTGTTAATGGAACGTTTAATTCGTCAAGATGCAGGTTTATCATAATCTACCTAATCTTCTTATAGGTAAATTTCTTTTTTTAGATGGTAAAATACATTTCACGCGTGATGAAGCATTGAGTATAGTAAGTATAATAAGGATTATATACTCTCAAGTGAATGCGTACGAACTGATTTCAGCAGGACAACTTCAAAGTAAATTCGGGTATTTTTCGAAGCGAAATGATCAAATCAAAATACTGTATCTATAGATGGGACACATTCTCACCAATAGTTAACAGGTGGAAGATAATAAATAGCCGCGTTTTGCATTTCAATTTTTAATTACTTAGCGCTTTGTATTAGAAAAACAAAATATACTACAAGATGTATCGTGAAAAGCTCTACAACTTACCAAGAATAATTTGATTTTTAGTTGCATTTTTCTCTTTTAACATGGACAAAATTCTGTGCATCCAATTTTTGACGCTGCGAAAAAAGTCATCTGTTAGTATACGACGAATTCTTTTTCTTGTTCCATCAAATTAATGAATCATAATTTTAACTTTATCTCATTGCATGTTGTTGAGACAACGTTCGAAATATATTAATACATAACATTGTGATCAGGACTATTTGATGGCCATCTATGATGGTTAATGAATCGCACAAAATTTTATTTATATTATGCCAATGATTCCTGATCTGTATGTGGTGTGACGTTGTCTTATTGTTAGATAAAATCTTCGCTCAGCAGTTGTTTACCTTCAGATTATGCACATATAGATGAACAGCTTCAATACAATTCTCGTTTGATAATATTTCACGAAGTTTAAATATACTAGGAGACGTAAGTCCATTTTTAGCAGCATCTAACTGTACCATAATTCTTGCTGGATACTTAGCCGTTTGATTTATATCATCTTGTTCGTCTTATAATCGAAGCTTGTTATAATAAAAGTATTTTTATACATTTTGAAAGTAACAAGTGCAACCATTAAAAAAAAGCTGTTCTCATAATATTATAAAGATTTCCATGCTGTGTCTCTTCGTATATTACTTTTAATACAACGTATTAAGTGCTTAAAAATTGAAATGTAAAGCGGGAGCATTTATTACATCCCACTCATTACTGAATTATGGGTTATCGACCATGTTCATTCGGAATATGGCCATGGGATCGAGAATCATCAATTTGAATAATAATATTTGATTTTCTTCTTCATAGTTCCCACTTGTACCAATCTGTAGTGACGTGGCTCGGTGTATAATTCAAACTATAAAAGCACCTATTCTTTTTATTGGGTATGTTTCAATATAATTGAATATTGCCATTATCTTTCTTGTTTTCAAGTGCCACAAAACCTCAATGGCCGAGAGATGAAAAATTATTTGATGTTATCAAAGAACATAATCCCAATGTAAATAATAAATAAAAAAATAAAATCAATAATTAGAAAAATAATATTTTTCTTTTTACTTTCAGTTTGAAATAGTATTAATTGATGGACCACATCATTTACATATGACGCATGTCCATGAAGTCGTTGATCACATCGAACAATATTTTAAAAAACATCTTCAATAATCTCCCGTATACACGACAAAAGATAGTAAAATTTTTACGTATTATCAATATCATTTATTTCATTCGGTTTCTTTTAATGTCAAAAGAAAAAGTTTTTTTTTTTTGTTAATAAAAATTGCTTGACTGTTAATTAGAAAAAACTAATCTTTGAATGTAATATATTGATGATCAAAACAAAAAATAAGTACATCCGTCAAAATAACTGTTACTCATGTCCCATGTTTGTTCACACTACCGCTACGACAGTTCAGACGTATCAACATTATGACAGTGCATCAAATTTAACTCGGTTCTGTCGGCTTTAACAGACTAAAAATATTCACCCCTTTTGATACAATGCATCGTAATACAACACTTCCAAAAACAAAACTGGCGGTAAACCGCTCAAGGATGTCAGCAGAGGAATAATCTCATAATCTTGGAAAATTTTTATTTTTCCCAAGTGATATTGAACAATTAGCAAACTCAATTTTAAAATACAAAAAATGAGTGTGAATAGATGCAGGTGAGTGTGGGTGGTGATGTACTTTTCATTGAAACAGAAAAACATACGAAACACAGCATTAGAAAATCGAATCGATTAAACACGTATAATCGATGTAATAATTATTTCATGACAGCATCTGATCTTTTCAACACTTTTTCTTCAATTGCAGCAAAGAAAGGTTATGATTGTGAAATAAAAACATTATTTAAGGTGAATATAAACTAATGTTTCAAAATATTTTATTTCTTTTTCGATATAATAATTATTTGATTCGAACCATTTTTACTTCCGACCGAAGTTGAAAGACATGAACAATTTTCTGCTCTTTTTGTTCGTCCATTGCTGTAACAAGGGTCATACCTCCGATCTAGATACTCCTGAAACTGTTGACATAGCGCACATTGTACCTGCGATAGTTATCCCATGAATATTTTTCATACTTGAACTACCATAATCTTTGATGAACATAAAATCATTTTCCATACAAGTACGACATCTATAACAGACTTTTGTTTGACATGTTCGAAATACAATTGTTTACATACATTCTTTTATTAATATAAATTTATTTCTATTTTATTTTCATTTATTTTCCTCTATCATCCATTAAATACTAAGTGGATACCTACCTGTGCATTCAATACATATGTTGTACCTTTTTTTTTTTCTCTAGAATAATCTTTCCAATCATTCATTTGTTATTAATCAGTGTCAATTTTTATCATTCATTACATTACAAGTATATATATTTTTTTTAACATCAAATACTTAGCTTTTCTACTTCTTTTTCTTTTTTTTTTCTCTCTCTCTGTCTCTCTCTTTCTCTTTCTACGCAACTTTTCCATTGCATTTACTCATTGAACGTATCATTTATCATGACAACATCCGATGATGAAGAACCTCGTATTCAGATAGCTAAATTACGTTCAGCTAATAAACAAGCAGCTGAATATGGTTTGGCACTGCTGAATGAAAAAAGTCAGTTAGAAGTACAATATGAAGAACTACAAAATCAACATGAAATACTTAAAACTGAATTACAACAATTAAAAATTCAATTAAAAATTATACAAGCTAATCAACGTGAAGAAACGTTAAAAGTTGAAACAGATGAAGAAACATTATTAAATGAAAAACAAACACGTGAAGATTATTTAATGAAAGAAATACAACGTAATGAATATGAATTACGTTTCTTAAAACAAGATCATGAACGTTTACATAATGAAAATGAAAAAATTCTTTTAAAATCTCAAGAATTTACTGAACGTATACAAGAATTAGATGAGTTACAACTTAAATTAAAATATGATTTAAAACAAAGTAAACGACAAGAACAAAGACTTCTAGATGCTAATGCAGAATTAGAAGAAGATAATGTTGCATTACAACAACAAGTACAAAGATTAAGAGAAAATCTTATTGATTACGATGGATTAAAAGTTGAAAATAAACATTTACAAGAAAATGTAAGTTCAACAATTCTTTAAAGAGAAAAAAGAAAAAGAAAAGAAATTATACTTCTAATAGATAGATGACTTGCATCGAATGATGAAAGAACTTGAATCATTAAAAGCTATATCTGAATCACAATTAATCGAATTACATAATACTCTTCGTGATGAACGAGAACAAAAACGAATTTACAAACAACAATTAGATAATCGAATACAACAAGTAACAACAAAACTAAGCCACTTAAATGTATATTTCTATTTCTTTTGTTGTTGTTTTTTTTTAAATAGGAATCGCTTCGTAATTTGGATTCAATTCGTATGACATTAAATGCTGCACATACAAATCCATCGGATGATTATCTATTTAATTGTGAAGATGATGATATTGAAGATGATGATATAAGTCATGTTCCATCACCAAATGATATTTTAGAAAATGATCAACAACCAGTTGTTAATCTATTCAAGTAAAATATTATTTTTTTTTCTTCTTTAATTTAACTTAAACAAAAAGCAAAATTCTATTTTAGTGAAATTCATGGTAATGAAATTCGTAAATTAGAACTTGAATGTTTACAATTATCACAAATAAAATCTTCACTTGATAATCAATTATTAACAATAAATGAAAAAACTAAAATTCTTTCACATAAAATTCAACATATGATTGAAATTATTATTCCAAATAAAATTTCATTAAATCAAATTAATTCTGATGATACAAATAATCTTTTAATAACATCACTTGATTCAATTGAACAAATTGATGGTATTATTAATAAAAATATTCATTTATTTAATGGTGATCAAGAATTATTTAAGAAAAAATCTGATGAACAAGAACATACAATATTTAAATTAAAACAAGATCTTAATATTATGATGAAACAATGTAATGATACACAAACAACGCTTATTAAAACTCATGATAATTTAGTAAGAAAACAAATATATAAAGGGTGTCCCAGAAGTTCTGAAACGATTTTAAGAATTCACCGTTCTCGCATTCTACAAAAGCAAATTCGGTGAAACTTTGATAGATTGTTGTACATATCTGATACTACATAACTGCAAAGTTTCAGGTCTATAGCTTGTACTATGGATGAGAGCCTAGAACAACACTGACATGTACTATTTTTTAAATTTTCCTGATCATCTTCGGGATGTGNGTTCCAACCAGAATTATCAATAAGAGGATAGGTAATTGTAGTAATTACTGTATCGTGTTCTACTTTTATTTTAGTTTAATGTACTTACAGTTCTCTATAAACAAACGCATTTTAACTGACAGAAGCCATTCGTTTTTCATTTGAGATTTCGCATTCGAGTGACGAATAGGTGAATTCTTTCCAGTATATAAGAATTTCAAATAACTGAGAACTTTTACATCTATAGTTAACCTCAATGCTTTTCGCACCTAAAATTCTGTCTGAATATGTACAACTAATAATTATTTAGGCGTAGTGTTTGTCGTCTAAAGGACTATAGGGTGTGAGTGTGGGTTTCTCTTTACTCTGCATCCACACGCACACCCACACCCCACCTTTTTGTGATTTGATGGTCATCTAAAAATAGAATAAAGTTATTTAAATAATGTTAAAGTTATTAAAGATTACTTATAATCGCCAAATTAAGAAAAACATTCATAATTTAAAATTCACCGAATATTACTAAAATTCTCTAGAAACTTTAAATGATTCTCAATGATTTTTCATTAGTTTCCTTCGTATTTCATGATTTTATATGATTGAATCTGATTTTTCTAGCGATTTCAATAACCTGCTTTCTCCTTGAATTATATTTATTTTAACTTAAAATAATGATTTAAACAATTTTCATTTTGACTTCTTCTTCATTACGATTACAATAATCATATTTATGTTGACTTTTACTTTTATTTGTTTGCATAAGATAAATGTATAGAAGATAAGGCTTACTTTTTAGAATACTCTTATGATTTTTAATTAGAGACCAATGATATCTGGCAATTGAACACTACACATCACGAGGTCAATCCTGGCATTGTATCTATTATCAACTTCGGACTCCGTAACCAGACTGAAAGTGATGGGATTCAGTTCGTATCCATTGATCAGGATAAATCGACACATTCCAAGTTGAGAACCAAGCTCAAAATAGCAGTCGTATCTGGACATTGTTTTTGAGTGCAGGAATTGACAGATATCAAGCAGTAAACGGAGACAAGTATCTTTTTACCAGAAAAACGATGCATCTTCGCAGACAGAAAATCAAAACAGACTGCAGAGAGAGATAAAGTAAATTAATGGAACCTTGAATAGGCTTAAGAAATGTGCTCTCTATTTGTCTTCCCATCAGGAACGAAATTATCCATCTCGGTTTTTCTTGATACAGAGTACCCGAAGTCCTATCAATCATAGCGAAATAGTTGAACAGTATTTTAGCAGCTACCGAAAGGCAAACGATATGAAATCTGACTTTTCTTAAATTGTGAGAAAACATTGAAATAACTGTTACTTGCAAATTTTTATATTAACATCATTCTTTCTTTACGAGTTTACTGGCGAGATTTTGTCACTTTATCGTTAGTGCATTTTGATCTTCTGTCTAATGGGGTGGGTGTGAGTTTGGGATTTTCTTTCTACAAATAGCCACATCCACCCACACTCAGACCCTCACAGAATTTATTATCATTATTAAAAGAAAAAACAAAAAAGAAAAGATTTTATTTTGATTTTAGTGAAGGAAAGACAGTGGTGCTAAACACTTTGGCAGAAGCACAAACTCAAATGAGAATGAAAAATAATTTGTGTACATTAAATCCAAAAGCATTAAGTGTTATTGAATTATATGGTACACTTGATCCATTGACACGTATGTATAGATATATACATATATGTTAGTGTTCGATTTTAGATCTCACTTTGGACGAAGATTAATCCAGACCAGTTTTTGAATTAACGACTAAGTATATTACATTCTATGTGGAGATGTTGGTGGAATCCGAAGAACGAAGTGAATAAAAACTGAAGTAGAAAAATGTGAATGATATTGAATCATCGCTTTTGCTAAAACAAACTTTGGAAAAGTACAACAATTAATTTGTATCTCGACTGTGTGTGTGTAAAAGAGAAGACAAGGGGTGTGGGTGTGGGTTTGAAAGAAATCTCATCTACACCCACACCCACACCCTCTAGGGTTTTTGGGAGTACATATTTTATTTTTTGTCGATACATGGACCTGATACAAGATGGTACATGGTGGTACAAGGTGGTACATAGTGGTACATGAATTCTAGAATTCTAGGTTTTGGGGGTACATAAGTTATTATGTCGATACATGAACCCGATAGTAGGTGGTACAACTTGGTACATGGTGATACAAAGGAGCACAAGGTGTTACAAAGCGGTTCATAATTAACTGTGAAACAAGTAGTACAAGTTGTACTCGTACTTGCGCAGCCCTCAATAAACGAGTAAGACGAATCGTAGAGAACACAGCATACCTTAAGACAAAGACAGATATATTAAATTTTAAAATGTAAAGTTCAACTACTAAGTTAAATATTGATTAAAATGGATTTACGGGTTCTTTACAATAATTACTTGCGACTTAACTTAAAACCATTATTTGAAAGAGACAAATATGTGGGTGTGGGTGTATATGAGTGTGAGGCCCTGCGCATGTGCATGAGGCCTTTGTGTTCACCCACACCACACCCATCCAAATCCACACCAGCATCCGCACCCACAGCCACACCTACACCCGCACTCACACACGCTGAGAAGGGCTATGATGAGACTCAGAAAAGTGATTGTTAGTCGATGGTAGGGTGAGTTATGTCCATTGAGGTTCGACCCCTGTTTTCTGAAAAACTTCTGAGTAGTCCTTAAAAGCTCGACCAGGAACTGCTTTGGTGTCCGTGGCACACGACCGAACCTCCAAACTCATTGACATATGGCATTGGATGGGTGCATATCGATGACGTGGGTCTTCCCGCGCGTGCATGAGTTTTACGCTAGCCACGACTCCGCCAGGGTGGTTCCTGGTCGAGCTCGCGCGCGAATATATTAAGCATTTCTTTCATCAATTCAACGTGATTTATTCGAAAAGAAAGGAAAGAAGAAAAATGATCCATCGTAATGAGTTCATTCAATTGAGCACCGTTGAACGCAATTATTCAAACGATCGACGACATAGAGATTGCCTTGTCGATCGAAGGACAAACCTCGCAGTTTGTAGAACTGATTTGCTTCTGTTCCTTCACCATTTCCACCCACAATGACAGTGCCTTGTTTCGCTCCTTTAGGCCAACGCATCACTCGAGCATTCATCGAGTCTGCCACAAAAATAGTACCCAACGTATCGACAAACAGTCCATTCGGAGACGACAATTGTGTCAGAGCATTCCCTTGACCTTCATCTCCAACGACGACAATTCCTTCTCTTGCACCTTTATTCCATTTCATCACACGATCATTATAGAGATCTGACATATAGACAGTCTGTTGTTGGTCGACAAGTATGTAGCCCGGACCATTGAGTTGATTGAGACCAACACCTGTACCATTGCCACCAGCCACGATAGTTCCATTATTGTCTCCTCCTTGTTATCATCTTACTTCATGTTTTTCGATGTCAGAGATGTAGAGATACCTCTGATCATCCATGGCCAATCCGAAACAAGCGATGTTGTCGATGATGATTTCTCCATGTGTTGTGCCACTATGACGAGACCATCGGAAGACTCGTTCATTCCTGCGATCACATATAATGAGACTATCCGTCTCTTCTTTTCAATCAACAAATCAGTTGGACAATAAAATTGATCCAATCGATTCCCTTGGCCATTGCCACCAGTCACCACTTGTCCATTCGTATCATCCATATTCCATTGGATGATACGATTATTGACGTAGTCAGCGATGACAATCGTTTGATCATCATCAATGAAGAGACCGCGAGGCCAGTACAGTTGATTGGTAGCATCGCCTTCTCCATGGCCTCCAGCAACGGTCACTCCATCCTGTATCCATCGTGCATTGACTGAAATATTGGGAATCACTACAATGAACGAGAAAAAGAAAAGAAAATCATCATTGTCGTTGTCTACGAATAAGATATTCTTCTTCTTCAAAGAGAACTTGGTAAAACTTTTGCGAATGTCTTTCTATAACATACTCTAAACAAGAAAAGGTTCTCCTAGTTTCATATGCAACAAAAGAAGAACTTGATAACGATTCTTATGAGAATCCTTTGAGATTCCAGAAAAGAGTTTTTTTTTCGAGAAGAAGCATTTCTGAAATACTGAAAAGAGTAATGCTAATCTCATGCAACCGTAAATCGTTCTAGGATTTATATGAGGAACTATGAACATGATTTCAAGCAATACAATAATGAAATGAATGAGATTGCTAAAATTGAAAGAACAACTGTGAAGATTCTATCTGAATCTTGATCCAAGGAGTGCAAAATGCTGCTTTTAGGATTCTTTTGGACGTTGTTCTGGAAACGCATTGATCACATATTTTTCTGATTTTGCAATACAAATCTTCCGAAGGGTAACCTAAACATTCTCGTAGACGATGCAAAATGACAGTTTTTGGCAAGGTTTTTGCTTCATTGTGCAAAGCTCTTCGTCAGGAGGGTCTTGAGAGGATTCTAGTCATATCATACGGATATTAGATATGTGAAAATCTGAGAGAGTATAACAAGATTCCATGCCGATCTTTGGAGACGGAAGCTTTTTACTTCGGATAAGGAATACCTTGAAGTTTTTGAGAATGGAGTAAGAAGATTATTGAAGGAGTTAGCATTGTTGATACTAAGATATGCTGGCGTCAAGAACTATCTACGCTACTAGAGATGCATCACAACCAGAAAAACACGACTTTAAAAAAAGTTGACCATTGGGTGATGTTGGAAGGTTAAGCGCATATCCAGTCTGCGAGAACAAAATAGTTTTTACAATAAAAAGTCATCGTCGGACAACTCTTGTCTGTATAATACTTGTTCGATTGCAAAAACCATCACATCTACGACTGTGTTCTTCAGAAAGTGAAGAAAAAAACAAATCTCTTATTCATTACAGAATGGCGTTAGAATGACCGCAAAATTTTATTTTATTTTTGACTTTTACTTGATGTTCAATTAGATAATGAATTTCCTATAGTTCAATTCGTTTGAAGACACATTATCAAGAACTATTTCGTCGATTATGTGGAAAGTCAATATATCTCTTGCTGTATTCCTGACCCGAAATAACGTGAGAGTACAATATTTTCTTAAAACATCTATTCATTACATTTGTTTTTTTTTCGAAAATGTTTCGAATCTATAAATGAATTGTGACATTTATCCCAAAAAATCAAGTAACTACACATGCGACAACTATCGACAGGCGAGAGAAATTCTTCAAAAGTGATCATATGATCTGAAAATTTCTCCATTGTGCTCAATGCGTCTGAAGAATGGCAGTGATTTTAATCAAATAATTTGAATTGTCAATAACACAATGCTCACTTTGAAGGCAATAATCGACAACATCCTACCTCTATTTACTCGAGGATTGTTTTTCATGGTCGATATCTAAAAGCATAAGATATTTGATGAATAGCCATTTTCTCGAATGATTATCTTCTGAGTGTGGGCGTGGGGTGTAGTTGCAAGTGTAGGTAGGTGTCGATGTGGGTATTATTGCAAGCGACATCTGCGCCCATACCCACACCCCAGAAGGCAACACCTCGTATTCAATTTAGAAAGAGTTATATGAATCGATTTCGATATTATTTCAGTTGGAATGAAGTGAAGAACGGGGAAAGATGATGATAATTTCGAATGCTATGCTTTAAAACGTATTCGACAAGGCTAAACATGAGAAAATTTGAATCAATCTCTTGCAAAGAAAATATATGGATTAGAAAATGCAAAAAAAAGGAATAGTCTTATTACTTGATGAGATAAATTGCTTTTTTTTTGTACTTGGTAGTGAATAATCTTATTAAACCACAACATTTAAATAGCCAATTTTAGTTCAATGATATTCTGTCAGAATCCTTGTCACTAAATGTAGTTTTTCGTTAATAGTTTTTACAAGGATTCACAAATAAAATAAAAATGAAATCATGATATGTATAATAAAGCATATTTTCGGCAAGGTCATATGAGCTCATTCACAATAATTACTGACTTTATAGATGTCATTTATTTGAACATAATAAAAAGTTGATTATTCATTATGGTGACAAGTTGAATAAAGTCGAATAATTTTAAGGCTTGAAAAAACAGCATTAAAGATAAGTAGAATTGCTTACTCAATCGAAAGATCAAGATGTATTCGTGGGTAGTCTAACTTCTTCAAGACTACCATTTATTAACATACGTTTTCATGAGTAAAATGTGCACTAATCGACTTCAAAGAGTCAGATCGGTTACTATTTTTAGTTAGACAGTTAGCATTGGTTCACTTCAGTAATACCTATGTCGCTTAATGCAGTTGATAATGCACTCGGTCTTGTGTGTAGATGAGAAATGTTATTGAATTGAATAAATGCTCTTCTCTTATTTATTTGCTAAATCAACCTTCCAAAACGTTCACATAATAAAGATTCTCACTATTTAATTCTAACTGAAATCTGATTTTTCAGTTTTAAAGATAGATTTCAATTGATTTTAGTCTTTATTGATTGATTAATGTAGTTTTATCGATCAAGAAAGATTCAAACCAAATGAAATCTATATTCACTGTCTAAGTAGCAAGCATCAAATTGAGAGAATGTTCTTTTTTTCTATTTAGATTAGTTTTAATAACACTTTTAACGGTCAATACTCGTTTGAGAAATAAAATCTATTCTTTTCATTTAGGTTAATAGCTACAACAACTGCAAAGATGAGAGTTGGAATCGAACTGGCCAGTTTTCTATCATTTGTTTAGGACACTAAAGCTAGTCTATTATGCTTATTTTTAGCAATTTTCATGGTTTTAACGACTCAGAAATATAAGCTCAAAAGTTTCCAAATGAAAAACTTATAGTTATCATTCAAATCCTTTCTCTAAATTTTGCACTGTCGCTTTCTCGTCGTATAATGAGTATCTAGAATCAGGTAACACGTATTAACGACTGTCAGAAAAGATTCCATTCTATTATGAAAATTATGCCTACTTTAAGTTCTGATAAATAATGATTTCAAAAAAGAGAATATCAAACTTATTAATTCTTGTAAAGAAACTCATTCAAAACAAAGCATTGATGTTCTTCAATATGAGATGTTGCGAGTCACTAGATTAAAAGTTTTGAAAAATTTCTTTCTTTGTTCTTAGCATTAGCGTATACGAAACGCTTTAGACTAAAATTGAACTTGTTATTATCGGTAATATCAAGAACTACACGAGCTTCATATTATATGTCTTTGTGGAACTATATCATTAATTTTTTTCTCATAACTAGTTCATTTATTAAATAAACTGTTTTTTACCAGTTCAATCCAGTTCTCACTCTGATAATGGTAAGTATTATTTTACAAAGAAAAGATTGTATTTTGGCATTTAGATTAATCGCAAAGAGAGCCCATTGGGTGGTCTCAGATTTGCTTGAATTCGAGTCTAAAATTTTGAACCCAACGAGCTCATGCCACAAGCACCACAACAATGGTGGTGGGTATCAATTCAAGAAAATCAGTTTTATTCTTTTTGATTGATATTAACAATGCATTCGATGTTGAGCTTTAGTTTTAAAACTAAATTATACTTTTTCTCGTTTTACAGTAGTTGTCATTCTGATCGTGCATTCCTCACGAAGCTTTTCAAATGGCTGCCTGAGAAATTTGTTTAGGGTAAAAAGTACTTTTCTTTATTCTTATCTTTCAGTTATTATTTCGATATCATTCATAATGCATCATAACACGTACTGGCTCTTATCAAACTTTATAACGTGACTTCAATTATGCTTTTCGGCTAATCACGTTTGAATCTTAATTGAACACTTAATTCTAATGAAGTCAAAGTTTTAGTACTACGTTCTCCCTCTACCTTTTAATATTTTTATTAGTTTAAATAATCCTTGACTATACTATCATCAAATAACGACACCTATCGTGATAGTTTTACCAATAAGCTTCTGTCAGAAATGTCTCTCACAAACTAACTATAGGTCAATTAAAACAAGTAAACGAACAAGGAAGAATGACTCATGAAAACTAAAAATAACCGAACAGAAAATATTTTCATATATTTTTATGTAGAATAATCGATGAGTGAGTTTTATTTTTAACCCATATTATAAAAATGTTTTCATTTTATAGATATGAAAAATAATTCAAGTCAATTATTAATTTGGTTAAAAGCATTTAAGAACAGTTGGTTATTAGAAAATATTCCAAATGATATTCATACAGTTGATTTAATTAAAACTAAAATTCTTGAACTTGAACAATTAATAAGCGGTAAAAATCAAATTTTTCTTCTATTTAAAAAAAAACCCGAATTTTTATTTTCAATAGAAAATAATGACGATGAAGAAGAATATCATCGTGCAAAATTACTTAATGATGATAGTTCAAGTAATAGTGATACTGAACAAATAGCTATTGCTTCAACATCAACACATGAAACATTACCAATATCATCGGATATACATTTTCAATTAGATAATGAAACTGAAGAAGAACAATCAAAACGAATTTTATTAGAACAAAGTGATAATAGTCAAAGTCAAAATGATAAATTGTCATCATCGGATGATGATGATGTTTTCTTACTAAGACCAAGTATTCGTTTAAAACGTATTTCACAAGCCGATGCTGAACGTTATATGCCACTAGCATGGAATTCATCAAATAGTGATGATAGTGAGTATTAAAATATTTATGAAATATTTTATATAGCTGATATCGAGAAAAATCTTAGTGTATAGAAATAAAAAACATCTATCTTATGTTGAAATAATATCGAATGTAAAAATATCAAAACTGGTACTATTGTCTATGCGGTTCTTCTCAGTCACTGTGGATTTTTGAAATATCTAAAAATGTCTTTACCAATATTTATTTCTAATTGAGATTATGACAGATACTTATCATTTGATTCATGTAGCAAAATTAATCCATAGATATTTAAGATGCCAATAATTCGAAATTTGAGTAAAATTTTTATTGGGCATTTTTCTCTTATGATTGGATAGACCTCGACAAATATCAAAAAAGTCTATAAAATTAGTAATACTCCAAAATCAAGCTGTCTCAGTAGTCTTAATATTTATCCGAAAGTAGAGAAAGGTCTAGTTTATTGTGAAAGTCTCAAGTATTTCGAAATAAGAACATCAAATATGTCAATTAATATGAACTACATAGAAGACAAGTTATTAGCATAGTTGTATTTTAGGACAGGAACAGCAACAAAATCTGAAGCATTTCTTCATCATTCTTTCACTTAATCCTTCAGAAACGCAATAACAAAGTAGTTCATATATTATTGACATATGATCTATCCGGGATAAAGGAAAGAATTCAAATCTCTATCCTTATACTGCAACGTTCTTTTTTAGGTCGTGTTTCACAAAATACCGTTAATATACAGTAATTCTAGAGCAATAAACTAAGAGTCTAAACTCTGTTTAGAATACTCAAATGAACTCTACTTAACCATAACAATAAAACGCCAAAAAGTTTTGCTACAATTTCCAATTATGAGAATATCAATTGTAGAATCTTTCGCGACACAATAAACTTTTTTTTCTTTTCTTAGTTCCAAGAACTCCAAATATTTTTGAAACATTAACTCCATCCATAACGAATCATAATGATGCTGAAACTTCATCCAATGATGACAAGAAAGCCAAAGAAAAATTACTAGCATCTGATAATGATCAAGCTAGTATTTCATCTCAAACACATAAAAATAATGAAACATCAACAACAAGTTCAACATCTGATGATGATGAGGATTTTAATATTAAAATTCGAACACAAAAATCTATATTAAACAAGACTGAAAGATCAACAATTAAATCACGTAAAAATACAAACCGTTCTCATAAAAAACATGATATTATTATAAATTATAATCTATCGTCAACAATACCAAATGAATCATCATTAGATGAGCCACCATCAGACAAACCAATAATAGAAGAACCACCATTAAAAGATTCATTAGCTATTGCTGAAGAAATAAGTCCAATGGATGAAGATCAAATATTAAAAGATGTTATAGAAAATAATGATAATGAATCAATATTTGCATCGCTTGATATAGCTCAAGATAAACCAATGGAAACAAATCCTAATGATAATATAGAAGAAGCATCGAACAATGAAATCGATTCATCACCAACTGAAGATTCTCATGATGGGTAAACATGTTTCTTTTTTTTTTTAAATCTAATCGTCATTATTTATCCTTCTGATGCTAAAGTCTTCTATACATTTTTCGATGTTTCTGTTTTTGACTACAAAAAAGAATATACGTAAGTTTCTAGAGAAAGACTTCGTCTATCTAAAACGCTGTATTCAAAACTTTACAGCCATGTTTCGAATGACTTTTTCGTATTTATTGAAATAATAATATGTTTCAATTATATATAACTGCAAAACATATGAAATTTGTTTTTATTTCAGACCACCAATTGAAGTTCCATCATATGCTCATTTGCTTACGCGTTCAAAATTATCATCAGATTCCGATGATGAAAGTTTAAAGAATAATGTTAAGAAAAAATCATCTGTTAAAGATAAAAATCAATCCAATAATGGCAAACGTTCAACACGATCATCATCCAGTTCTGATACATCAACAATTAAAAAGAAATCAAAACTTACTATCAAACAACGAGTTGCACTTTCATCATTTTCATCGTCTAGTAATGATGACGATAAGGATGAAGATGATAATGATAAAGAATTGGTATTGTTGATTTTGGTTTTCTTTTAATCAGTCTGCAGTTTTAATTTTAGTTGTACATGAATTCCATTAAGGTTGGTCGAAGAGTCCTTAAGTCTTTATTTCAGAGTTATGATCGTTCGGCAAAGTAACTCATGCGTTCTCAAAATATAAGAATATCTAAGAAAGTTGTTATTTTTTTGATAATGCATAAACGTTCCTGGGAATTTAATAGTACAATATAGGAGCACTAATTGTGTTTAAAACTGTTTAAAAATATCATATAAATAGAGTTTTTACATCATGCGTGTGGCAAGCGATTAATTTATCTTTGGACAAAATTTTACGGCGAAGTCCTTTTTTTTTATTTCTTGGTTTAGACGTACGTTAGTCTTAATATAAACTCAAACAACGGATATCAGTTCAGCTTACTGTCTCTATTAATAAAAAATGGTAATCCGTTTTGAAGCAAATCTTCCAATTGAGATTCTTCTATTACGAATTTTCTAATATTATCGAGACTTTTATATAAGAATTTCATAAGTCGTACGATGATTCGACATTGCTCTCAAATTCTGAATGTGAACTCTCCTAAATGTTCTCTACATTAATTCTAGAAGTCAACAGGTATTGAAGATGCATCTATCGTGTCACCAAAACATTCATCAAGTCGAATTCGAATTCAACGTTCATCATCATCATCCGAAGATTCAAATAATAGTAATAAAATTTCAACAAAACGTTCCAAAAAACAACGTAAAAAAGCAAGTATTTCAAGTGAACGTTCAAATATTTTAAAACGAATCAAACGTAAAACAAGAGACAAACACAATTCAACATCTAGTCGATCTGAAGATAGTACTGATGATAATGACAGTGATAATAAGCAAACGAAAACAAAAAAAACTAAATTAAAAGTTAGTGGTGATGAAAATAATACTACGACAGATGATCAAGATGATGAAGAAGGAATCTCTCCAAGTAAACGAAAAAATGGTCGAAAAAATATTCGAAAAATAATTGATGATAAAGAATTACAAATACAAACACAAGATGCTATTGAAGCTGAACGTGAACGTCGAAAACGTATAGATGAAAAACAAAAAGTCTATAATGATACATTACTTGAACAATCATCTTATATGTCAAATAGTGGAAATGATGAATTAAATACTTCAAATAATCGTTTAATACTTGAATTGGATAAAAATACAAATGAATCTTTAATTGAAGTTTCACCAAAATTAGTCGAACAACTTAAACCACATCAAGTTGATGGTATACGATTTTTATGGAATAATGTTTTTGAATCGATTGATGCTCTAAAAAATAAAAAACGTAATGGTAATGGTTGCATATTAGCTCATTGTATGGGTTTAGGAAAAACATTACAAGTTATTAGTTTTATTCATACAGTTTTTAATTATGATAAAATAACGAAAGTAAAAACATGTCTTATTCTTTGTCCAATTAATGCTGGTAAGAATTTAAAATATTGATTTATTTTAAAATAAAGATATTTTAATTTTTCTTTTTTTTTTCATAGCTCTTAATTGGTCAAATGAATTTGATCATTGGTTAACAGATATTGAACCACCTATTGATCTTTATCAATTAACAACAATGAAACCAAATTTACGTGTTTGTCATTTAAATTATTGGCATGAAAATGGTGGAGTTGTTATTATGGGTTATGAAATGTATAGACGATTAGCAAATGGTTTTGGACTTAAAAATAAAAAACTTAAAGCTGAAGCATATAAATGTCTTGTTGATCCAGGACCGGATATTGTTGGTAATTTAGAAGTTGTCTTTTTTTTTCTCTTACAGCACTTTATAAGATCTGTCTATCGAAAACTCTGATATCTTTCTAAACATTTGCATTTCTAACAGAAATTAATTATTAAAAGTTTGATCAATAGAAAGAAGATGAATATATGATGTATTGAAAGGCATCATGTTTTCAGAATAATATCCAAAGCATGATTTGCTAGTAAATAGATATAGACTGATGTATAAGATTGAAAAAAGTACGGTTATATTCGAAGTTTATACTGAGCTCAGGATATTCTTTTGTAGCCAACTAGAGAATTGTTTAGTATTATGAAGAGCTATTCAATAGAGCCATCTCTGAAAAATTGTATAGTACAATGACAATTAAGTTTTGGCCTAGTCAACAGAAACTCTCATGTTTCTTTTAAATATATAAACGAATATATGGCACAGCAATATCATTCTATAGAATCATGCATAGGTCAGAAACCAATTGTAATAAAACATTAGTTTAGTTGATAACATTCAAATAATTGATTACATAGAATTGGAAGACATTTCATTTTTTTCTAGTTAAAAATGTTTTTGAGAACATTTTATCCAATATAGAATTTTAGAACAATAATATTAATAAATAATTGATCGAATAATACTTCTAGAGAATAGTTTTCATTCTTAATATAAGATATTTACTTTCTATATTTAGTTGCTGATGAAGGACATATTTTAAAAAATGCTCAAACAGCTCTTGCAAAATGCTTATCAAAAATTAAAACATCTCGTCGTATTGTTTTAACTGGTACACCATTACAAAATAATCTTATTGAATAGTAAATTTCAAAACACTCGTTTTTTTTTTCTATTAAACATTTTTTTCTTCTTCTTATTAGTTATTGTATGGTATCATTTATTAAACCAAATTTACTTGGTAGTCAATCAGAATATATAAATCGTTTTGTTAATCCAATTCAAAATGGACAACATCGTGATTCAAATGAAGAAGATGTTCGTTTAATGAAACGACGTGCATGTGTTTTACATGAACTTTTAACTGGTTTTGTTGATCGAAAAGATTATTCATTATTAAAAGAATATTTACCACCAAAATTTGAATATATTATTAATATACGATTAAGTGATTTACAATCAAAATTATATGATATATATTTAAAACAACAAGTTGATCAAGCACAACGTTCATCTGTATTAAAAAAAGATTTTAAATCAGCAAAATTATTTGCTGATTATCAATATTTACAAAAAATATGGACGTAAGAAATAAACAACAAAAAAAAAGCGAAGCAAACTTCATCAATTTTTGTGAATATTTTATTTTTTAGACATCCATATTTACTTTATCCACATTTTATTGATCGTTGGAAAAAACGATTAAATAAAGATGAAGATAGTTTAATTGATGATAATGAAATAGAAGCTATGTTTATTGATGATGAGGAAAATGTGGAAGAAACGAAAACGAAAAAATCAAATGAAAAAGAAAACGAGGTAAATTAAAGTACACTAATAGTAATAAATATACATTGAAACATGCTCTATCTAATGACATAAAAAAAATTTCATTACGAATTTTAAGGTGAGTGAAACAATCGGAATTTAAAAAGTAATCCATCTTCTGGGCTTTAATGACCATGTCTAGTGGATATTCTAAATTTGCTTATTAAGGAAACATTTCGAAGTGTTTTTTCTTCAGACTTCCAAGTATTTCTATTGAAAATCAGTCGTACATTGTGAATAAGCGCATGCAACTACATCTCGAAAAACATATCTGTAAGAGTTCCTCTTATATTTTTATCTTCAGAATATTATTATTTTTGAGAATACAAATATATATTCAATTATTAGTAAATGTATATAAACTTGTATTGTCTTTTGATGTTAATAAATGAAATGGATTAGAGGTCAATCAGTATTTATATGATACGTGTAGAATATTAATTTCGAATTCAAAAAATAATCTAAACGATATCAATAAAAATATTATATTCCAAATTATTTTCTTATGTTTTAGTTGAAATCAGAAAGTAACTTTAGTGGTTTTTTAATTGATAATATTCAAAATGAAATGAACGAAAGTAAACCAATAATATCAAAAATAATAAAACGTACAATATCCAATTCATCGACAACAACACTTGATTCTGATTCAACAGACGATAATGATAAAGTTAAGAATGGCATTGATTCGGATTCAAAATCAACAAATGGTGATAATGATATTGAAATTATTAAAACTTATCCAACACGAAGTCGAACAACAATAAATAATAAACCAACAAAAATCTCTTCATTGAAAAATATTGATTCGAATGTATTCGATACAGAAAATAATCAAAATTCAATAGAAGAAATAAATAATAATGATAATGAACAAGAAGAAAATTCCGATGAACCATGGTTAGATGAAATGCGTGAACAATTTTGGTTTCCATTCTTAGATATATTACCTAAAGAAAGTAAATTTGATATAGAATTAAGTGGAAAATTTTTATTATTAAAATTTATTATTGATAAATGTGCTGAAATTGGTGATAAAATTCTTTTATTTTCACGTAGTCTATATGCATTAAATTATATTGAAAGTTTTCTAAAACATTTACATATTGAAAATGAAAAAGAATATCAAAAACAATGTGAATCACGACGACAATTACGTAATATTCTTTTATCAAATGGAGATAATGATAATGTTACAAACGAATATATACCTGAACCCGTACAATGGATACGTGATCAAGATTATTTTCGAATGGATGGTCAAACAGAGATTTTATCAAGAAAACGTTATGCTAAAACATTTAATGATCCATCTAATTTACGTGCTCGATTATTTCTCATATCAACATTAGCTGGTGGTATTGGAATTAATTTAACCGGTAGTAATCGAGTTATTGTTTTTGATGCAAGTTGGAATCCGAGGTAAATATAAAAATTCAATTCGAAATTTTTAATCTCAAAAGAAAAAATAAATCTATCAGTCAATTTGGAAACGACATTCTGAAGTCATTTTACATTAAATTTTGACTTTCGATCTGCGCAAGGTCAAGCTCTATAGCTTATTCCGTTCAGGAGTTGTTGGCGTTTTCCAAAGATCTTCGAAATCGCTCACTCTGAGTCGAGTGATAACGTTTGTTTTCAATGTCGAAGTTGCTATGTCAATGATCCATGCTAGTTTAGTTGAAGATCGTGTGGCTGATTTCAAGGATCTTGAGACAACGTCAATAACTCTTGCATGGAACAAGCTATAGAATTCAGTCATGAGTGGATGTCAAGAGAACAATTTTCTTTATCGAATAGTTATATTACAAGTCGAATTTTAATTGAAAATAGTTTTAGAATGTCATTTTAAAAATTTCCACTAAGAATCTACATGATTTGTCAATAGCTGACCAATCAAACTTTGATTTCTCGAAACAGTCCGAANCTTCCCGCCCGCCGACCTTCCCCTCCCCCCCGACCCCCCCCCCCCACCCACCCCCACCCACCCCCACCCCCACACCCACACCCACACCCCACACCCACCCACACCCACACCCACACCCACACCCATTCTTAGATATGTTACCTGAAGAAAGTAAATTTGATATAGAATTAAGTGGAAAATTTTTATTATTAAAATTTATTATTGATAAATGTGCTGAAATAGGTGATAAAATTCTTTTATTTTCACGTAGTTTATATGCATTAAATTATATTGAAAGTTTTCTAAAATATTTACATATTGAAAATGAAAAAGAATATCAAAAACAATGTGAATCAAGACGACAATTACGTGAACTTCTTTCATCATCAAATGATGATAATGATAATGTTACAAATGAACATATACCTGAACCAGTACAATGGATACGTGATCAAGATTATTTTCGAATGGATGGTCAAACAGAAATTATATCAAGAAAACGTTATGCTAAAGCATTTAATGATTCCTCAAATTTATGTGCTCGATTATTTCTTATATCAACATTAGCTGGTGGTATTGGAATTAATTTAACTGGTAGTAATCGTGTTATTGTTTTTGATGCAAGTTGGAATCCAAGGTGAATATTAAAATTCATTTTAGAATTCTTAATTTTTGATACAAAATAAATCTATATGGTAATTTGAAACTACTATCGATGACAAAATATAAGATAGATGATCTTTTTTTCTGATAGAAACCTGTGGTTTTCACCTCCATTGGAATGAAAAGAATATTTTTATTAAAATAGATCAAAATTTAATGGTTAAGACCGAGCTGTTCTGCTCAGAAGTTATTGGCGTTTCCAAAAGATCGTTGAAATCGGCTAAACAACCTCCAGCTAAGCTATCATAGGTCATGACAGGGATAATCAACCATTCTAAGTCGAGTGATAATGCTTGTTTTCAAGTTCGAAGCAGTTATGTCAGTGGTCAATGCTGGTTGGTTAGGAATCATTTGGCTGTTTTCAAGAGTTTGAAGAAAACGTCAATAAATCCTGAATGGAACAAGCTATAGAGCTCAGTCTTGTGTAGATCGAAAGAGAAAAATTTTATTTATCGAAAAATGGCTGTAGTTTGTTTCTTGGAGCCACATTTGGAAAAAATATGCCTATTATCGATTGGGATTTTGAAAAAAAACGAAGACAACTACGCTCATCTCTAATTAAGCATCTAGAAAAATTTTAGATATCTAAAAAAAATGAATCCGGAATCGTCACAAAAACGAGTTTCAATACTCTTTTTCTTACTTAGTTTTTAAATGATATACTTAATCGATATTGTGAAAAGTATAATTTTGAAAAAAACCGATTTGATCAAATAAATTAATTCTATAATAATTTTCCTTATTTATTTACTTTAGTCATGATACTCAAGCAATATTTCGTTCATATCGTTTTGGTCAAAAGAAACCAGTTTATATCTATCGATTTTTAGCTCATGGTACAATGGAAGAAAAGATTTATCAATGACAAGTTGTTAAACAATCAATATCAGAACGGTAGAAATCAAAAGCAAAATATCAAAAATCTTATATTAGTTTTTCTTGTTATATTCTAGTGTGGTCGATGATCATCAATTAGATCGTCATTTTACTCAAAGTGATATAAAAGAATTATATAAATTTAAACCAGAACAATTACCAGAAGCTCGACCAACATCAACACTTTTAACAGTATCAGATAGAAATTTTAATTATCCAATACCAAAAGATCATCTTTTACTTGATCTTTTATATGAACATAGTCGTTGGATACATTCATATTATTCTCAAGATTCATTATTAGAAAATAAACTTGATGAATGTCTTAGTGCTGAAGAAAGACGTCGAGGTAAATTTTTCATTTTCTTATCTTTCCTCTTTTTTTCATGTATCATTTTCATTAAAAAAAACAAATAGCTCTTGAAGAATATGAAAGTTTAAAACGTTTACCTGATCAACGTCAAATAGCTTTGCAACGTTTTCAACAACAACAACAATTAGCATCGACACAAGGACGAAGACTTCTTCAACCAAATCAAAATTTTCAACAATTATATTCAGATATGTATCAACCACTACAAACTATTCGTGAACATAGTTTAGATTTTGCACAAGTACTTTAAAGTATTTATGATATGCAAAAAGCTAGAGAAATGACAAATAATATAACAAAACCAACAAATAAACGTATACAACAACAACAACAACCAATGATGAATTAAAATACTACAGGTGACTAAAAATGAACATTTTTTTATTTGTCAATTAAACAATAAAACTGCTTGAAATAGCTCAGTTTTTTTTAGTAGAACTCGAATTTTAATCTGAAACTTTGTTCAAATCGATATTCATCAAGACTAGCTGGTATAAAACAAATTGCAGAATTTTTAGATGTAATATCATTTAATCTGGAGTGTTTTCAAAATATTCATACTTTATAGAATATCTATAGGCAAGAAAAATCCTAATTTCGTTGATGCTGGTTCTGTGTCTCTTTTATAACCTAGTTTCAGATTCCTAAGAACGAAACCTAAAACTGACACTCCCTAGTCAGATGTTACTTTCATTATATTTAATTCATAAAAATGAAATATAAATAATTAAATGATTATTATTTGTTTTTATTCTAGCTGGTTTAGTTCCTATTCAACCTCGACCGACGACTACTAGTACAAGAAATGTCGATTCGAATGGTGTTATTCTTCTAGAAAGTGATGATGAAACAGGAAATGATAGAACAAATACAATAGCGAAATGATTATATATTTTTTTCAAATTTATTTTAATTATCATGATTATGAAAAATTGACCATGTTAAAAAGAAAAAGATTTTGTCAGATTATGTATATAGTTTATTTTTCTTGAAATTATTGTCGTTATTATTTCTTTGTTCATGCTTAATATAGCATACATGCCTTTTGGGTTATTCATCTCTATTTTTGTTTTGTTCAAGTTATTATATTTTTTTTCTTTCTCTCTATATCCTGTTTTCTTGCTAAGTGTATGAACAGATACATATTAAAAAAAAATATAATAAATATTCATCATATAAATAGAATTTATTGCATATTAATTTATATGTCGTATCGAAGTTATCCTGTTTATCAAAATTGTTTGAACGAAGTTCAGTAGTAAAATTATTGATTATTTGAGTGACATTATTAATCTTTTTTCTGCTAAACAACAGACATTTATTTGATCGAAAAATCAACAATCTACAAACTACTAAGAAAAATCGAGACAGTATAAATTTTTATAGTATTACTCGTTTTTACTCCATTTAGAACAAGAAAAGTTGAATAGTATAGAACAGATGAACATAAGAGTTAGTGTTCCATAATCAGAAATTAAAATTCAAACTAACAGTTAGTATAAACACATGTTGCTGATGATCCAATTATTAATTATCTAGAGATCAGATTAATAGTCTATTTATAAAATTGAAACATATTTTGCAACTGTAACTGTCTAATAATGGGATTACAATTAACGAATCATTTTCGGTAGTGGTATGAATAGGTGCATATGCACAAAAAGTGTTCTACACTTACTCAAAATCTCAATATATAATTTGCTTATTTCATACTAATGATGCAACGGTGGCAGTGCACTGGTCGATTTCCAAGTAACACTGCTCTTAGAGTATTGTAATTAAAGTTAAAGTAGATTTTTTTGTCTAGGACTGCCTATTTTATAAAAATAACGATTTTTTTCATCTACGTTGCATAAAGGTTTCCAGAGCCGAGAAATTCGAATCTGTAGATGGTTTCGCAAAATTTGTCAATTTGATTTTTTCGCTGAGGAAGGAGTGTCTTCCAAAAAATAATGTTATTTTATAAAACTTGATCAAATACCTTTATGCTAGTAAATATCAGCTGTGCAAAAAGACTAGTCTTTGATGTACTTTCTCCGCACTGAGTGCCTTAATCCTTAAACTCACTGTAACATGTCTAATATTTTACCTGTTTTAACAAGTCACTGATGGATCATTGCAGCTATCTTAGTACGTTCAGACTAGTGCAACGTTGAATCAATGTTCAGAAAAATCCTATCAATCCTCAGTTCTTTGCTTTCTTATGCCATAACAATATCAAGTTCTCATCCCTTATGAATCAATTGGTGAAGACAGAGAAGAGATTCATGGTAAGAAGACACAAATAAATTGATTTTAGAAAGTTAACTTGATCAATTCTATCGATTTTAAGAGTAATTGTCTCGAAACAAACGTGCGATTTGTGAAGATGAATCAGCAAATACCAGTTGACATGATCGATCGATTGATTGTTTCGCTAACTGACTACACATAATCAGATTTATTTGAATCTATCAATTGTTTTCTTTTCTTGTCATTTGTCTTATTGATGATCGAATCATTGAAGAATATGCCTTTCAACTTTCATTTCAAATATTTCAAAATGTTAAATCGAATTGTTCAGTTGTGTTTTTTCTTCGTTTTACCATTGAGAACTTGATGGTTTTTTTTCGACAGAATTGTGAAATATTTATTCAACTTCTTTGGAGTTCGATGTGAAAAATCAGTAAATTGTGAAAAAATAGAGTTGTCAAGATGAATTGAAAATTTTCTTTGAAAATCAATTGAAATTAATATTGATATGAGAAGAGAAATGGTGTGAATGAAAAGAATTTGTCTTATTTATTGATGAAGATCATTTGAAAGAAAACTTTATTCAAATAGAATTGCAAATCTTTCTATCATCGCCTTTGATAAAGAAAGAGGAAAACATTTGTAAAATTCTGTGTTTGTGGATTATAAAAGTGCTTTTGATGCTCTATGGTATGGTGGTTGTATTGGAAAGTTAAAAAAGTTAGAAATTCCAAAGAGCTATAGGAAATGGATTAACACATGGTTGAGAACCAGACGAGCTTTTATCGACATTGGTGGTAAAAGATCGAGATGGTTTCACACTTTTAGAGGAGGTCCACAAGGCTCTATATTCGCACCTACTCTCTTTATCTGTTATCATTCGGATATGAGCGAATTCTTAAGTGATTGCCTTAGTTTTATGTTTGCGGACGATCTTGCGGGTGTGGATGTGGGTGAAAGTCGGGATGCGGGTGTTAATTTTGCCTTCACTCATACCAACATTCGGACACACTCACACACACACCCATCCTATTGTTCATTTATTCATAGCTGATCTTGACTAAAGAGCATTATTTTCATTGACAGCAGTGGTCAAATCGAACAACAATATATATATATATTCATATATATAAGCAAAGAAGAATTGCATGAGAAAATAAACATAGAATTTTCATTTGTTCAATCGATGAATTTACCTGATGAAATATTAATGATTATTCTGAAAAAAATAGATAATGTTGATGTACTTCATTCGTTAATCAATATCAACATATGACTCAATCAAATGATACATGATCCTATTTTTACCATTGCTTGATCGATTCTGTTCACAAATATTGCCAAAAATCCATCATAAAATTAAATGACTCAAACTCCAACCAGCATCTATGGAATGCATACTCCAGATTGGTAATTATACTAATTAATGTCAACTTGATATATTTAATATAGACAAGAAATCTGCCATACATATTTCTGGTAAAAAATCTATCCTTCATCCTTTTAATCATCAGATCATTCAAAAATAGGTAACAATGAATGTCAATGAGAACAAAAAAGTATCTAGAAAAAATCCCAATACATACAAACAACTGAGAGATTTTCTCAAATAAGCATAAATATCTATAGGACAAAACAAAATATTCTAAATATGATCTAAATCGATTTTTATCCAATTTTTCTGTATGAATGTGCACTGTTCGTGTAAACTTTTTCTTCAAATCATCTTTTTTATTTTGAACAAAAACATACTTTTTAAAATTTCATTTTAAGAAATAAAATACAGTTATTTTGCCATATGATTTTTATCCAGTTCGTATAATGGATGTAGTAATGGTACTTTTGAGAAGAAGGTAGATTCAAATACCGCTTTATAGATAAATTCAGGAGATCGATTGTGATGGTAATTGTCGAATCTCCCACAAAGTACCACTAAAAGATGTTGTAATTGAACATTTCGATAATAATGAAGAACGAATGCAACACATCTTTCCAATTGTAGCAACTTGTGGAGTAAACAATGAGTTGCTTGTGTTGTATCATTATTTGGATTGAATTTACCCTACAATAAAGTTACAAAAAAACTTTTGTCTAAAATCCGATCAAAGATTAGACAAAACAGTAGCAAAGAACTGTACCTGTTCAAGTTTTTTTAATTCATCAACACTAAATGTTAGATTCGACGTAGTAACTTCGCCACAAATGATCGTATTTGCAACAAATTCTTTAATATTTGTATATGATGATGTTCAATTCACGGGTAAAATATTTGGTGATTCAAACTTTGGTCGTTCAGTAGATGTAACTTCAAATGCAAATCCAAGAATATCAAATTGGATTTGTTGAGGTTGAAGAGATACCAAGATAGGTTGGTATTCTTCTGTCCATAACTTTGAATATGTTGTATGAAGATATTTTGTAAAATTATTGAAAAAATTTTGGCTTTTTTTTCGAATAGTTGGAATTGAACATACGACTACTTGGTAAATGCCGTATATCTAATTCATGATCAGCACGAAGACGATTTATTATCGCCAATGTTGCAGCACGCTCATAAATATCATCGATTTTGTGCGATAATTGATCAAATTGTTTGTTAAACTTTTTGTCTAAATTTCGAATATTCTTATCGACAGAAGCCAATTTTGTACCTAATTGTCCTTTGAAATCTTCCAATGTCTTACTGAATCCATCCAAACTGTTTTTCAATTGATCGTGTAAACCTATAAACATAGATTTTAATTCATTAGACACTAAAAAATGAAATATTAGAAATGAGTCATTTTTAACGGACAATTGTGATTATATAAGGTCTTGGAAATGCAAAATTTTTACAATTTTTTTTTCTTTTTTGATATCTATGCACAGTTGAAAAGAGCGCATCGAGTTATCTAGGACAAAGTAATTTTCTTATTTCAACAACGATTTTTCCGAGAGAAAATTTTTCGAACAAAGAAAATTTCATAAAGCAGCCATTTTTACTGCTTTGAAGGGATTAATCAACAGTTTTATTTTTTAGTGTCTTTTCAAATATGGGGTGTGGGTGTGGGGTGGGGGTGTGGGTGGGGGTGGGTGTGGATGTGGGTGGGTGTGGGTGTGGGTGTGGGTGGGTGTGGGTGTGGCTGTGGGTGGGGTGTTGGTGTGGATGTGTTTGTGGGTGTGGGTGTAGGTGGGGTGNATTTCTGGGTTAAAGGTCGAGAAAAACGCAGTTTTTCGTTAACGCGATTAAAACTGATTAAAATTCAAGGAATCTGATTAAAATTTGATGAAAATCGTCTCATTTTAATCGATTTTTAATCACAAAAAAATCGATTAAAATCCCGTTTTTTCTTGATTTATTTTTACATGGGTACAGGAATGAGTAATTTATTTATAAATATAATTCTCAACAGAAATAAAAACTATTTAATGAATAGTTTAGAATAGAATCTCGAAAAATCTCGTTTGTTCTAACTGGTGGAACAATCATGATGGGAACAATTCTGAAAATTTCGGGACGGGACAATATAGAAACAAAAACAATATTTCAAGTTCTTTGTATTCCTCATATCAACACAAGTAGTACACCTAAAAGTTTTTATCTTTAACAAATATCTTAATATTTAAGTAAATAAAAGACAAAGAACTAGACTGTCATTCGAGCAAAGCCCAAGCACGGTGACATTTTCTTTTTGTCAAGAATGATTTTTTTTTCATAAAAATATTAGCTTCTTGTACAAAAAAATAAGATTGATGAAAAATCCTTGAGGGGAACCCTTATCATAAACTCCTGTGGAAAAACCATGGATATCGGATTAATGGAAAAAAGTGGCCGCCAACTTTACTGAACATGTCTTTTCCGAAAACTCTTGACGTAAAAGGAATAATTGTTTTTTTTCAAAACGAAAATTTTTCTTATAAATCGATAGAGTATCAAGCTATCTATGATTTATTGTCCCGCTCTTTTTAATTTTCTCAAAAAAATGATGTTTTTCTCGGAAAGTGATGAAATTTTTCTAATCCATTTAACAGTAAATTTTATTTTTTCACTTCATGTCCATCTTACTGCTCACTGTGCAGAATGAAAACGGCGACTGAATGAATGAATGATCCCTAAAAAATGGCAGAACGCCAACCCAGACGACAGTTGCTACTTCTAAACCTAGGACTTCCGTAATGGAGATCATAATGAATTTCACTCGCATTCAGCAATTTTGGCTCAGCTGATAAGTGAACAGGTAATGAATCTGAACCAACTATTGCTCTATAGCATCTGAAATATTAATATTCTTTATTAAGATTGAGTAATGTATGACCATATAATGAAATTCTCTGCCGTTAATTATAGTAATTTAGATTTTCATAGCCTTCCGAACCGAATTAAGTTTATAAAAAAAACGAATTTTAGATGTGCATTCGTCACATTCTGACATATAGTTAGATATAGAAAACGAGTAGCTGCTTTAAGTCGTGATTAATGCATCGAAAAGAAGAAGACTGTGGATTCAACCGTCTTCCAATCAATACGATTCAGGACGTGAAAAAGTTTTGTCTCATAGGATTCAACTTAAGAGTTGAGAATGGAGAGTAAATCGTTTGGTTCTTTTTTTTGTTTTTTTGTTTCTAAAAATTTACTTGTGTCACTGTGAATAATTCAAACAAACTTTCAAGTATAATTCATTTTCATGTACTTTTAATAAAAATATATCATTAAATAATAATAATAACAAGTTCCGTTGTGTATGATCATTCACAAGAAATTTCTGAAGATCAAATTTTTCGCTAGAGATCGCTATTGTCTTGTTATGTTTCATACGTATAACGCTTATAGTTCGTTAAATCAAATAAAAGTTGATTGGTTTGGTATAATTATATGAAATTACTCATATTAATTTATTTGACGCATAAAACTCTCTTTAAATACAAGAAATTAATTAAATTCTTATTCTCTTTTATTATATCATTTAAACCAGTTTTATATATTACAGTAAATATGAATTTTATACCTCCCGATACGCAACGTATTGCTGAAGCTCTTGGTGATATTAAACAGGTCTAGTCTATATATACTTTGCTCTTTTCTCTTACGTAATTGATTCTTATTGTAGTTACCAAGAGATATGCAAATGGCTGTGACAAATAAACTTCATGAAAGTTTTCAACCAGTACCAATACCTAATTATGGTGATTGGTTGAGAAATCATGAAGAAAAAGGACAAACTATGAAATCATTTGAACGAATTACATTAAAAGCTGTTCTCCATGCTACGTAAATAATGACATATTATTTGTTTTGTTTTACTAAGTAAGTTTCTTTTCTTATTTTTTCTATATAATAGTTTTAGAACAATTTATATTCAACCAGTTGGTAGCTTTAATCATCCCAGGTAAAACATGAATTTCTTTTGTTTGCTTGTTTTCGTTTGAATTATTACGATGAAATTTTAGAGCTGCACCACTTGATGTTATTATTCAATTTGCTCGTGTATTTTTTGCAGGATGCGAAGTTGAATTATTACCAACAATTGATTTTTCAAAAGATATGAAATATAGAGAAAATAATGGAATAAGACAATATCGAACAGATGGCTTTTATGATTATTTATCTCAAACACGTCATCTTCGTGATGCAAGACGAGAACTTTTATGTGTTGCTGTGACTATGGCTGACATTTATCCTGATGAAAGTTGGAATTTTGTTTATGGACAAGCACGAATAATAGACGGTCTTGGAGTTTACTCATTTGCACGTCTTGATCCATTATTTCCTGCATCATCACAAACTTTACTCACTGTTTCACTAACTAATGAACATCGTATAATAATGCTTCGACGTTGTGTAAAAATTCTTCTTCATGAATTAGGTCATTTATTTGGTTTAAAGCATTGTATCTATTATATTTGTTTGATGAATGGTGCAAATAATCAAATTGAAATGGATCGACAAACTTTATATTTATGTCCTGTTTGTTTACGTAAGCTTTATTCAACACTTCAATTTGATGTTCGATATATGTATGAAAATTTTGTATATCTATGTGAAAAATACGGACTTGAAGAAGAACGTTTATGGTATCAAAAACGTCTAAATTATATTCAAGATAATAGAAGATAATTGAAAATAATATTAAAAAAATTAACATAAAAAGAAGAATCAGACCCTCTTTGGCATTCTTACTAAGAAACTGTGACATGTAAAATATTCAAAAGTTATTTTGAACTAAAACGATACTAAGCATGAAATTTTTTCCAATAAAATAATGAATATTAAAATAACCCTTCAGAATCGATGGTACATGTATATTGTGCTACTTACTTTTCAATCGAGGAGAAAATATTTATTCTATATTAAATTGTTATCACTTGTAAAGTCATAAAAGTCATAGATCATTCCACCTGCAATCTCGTCGCGTATCTGACACTTGACGAGACTCGGAGCATGAATTCAAGTGCTAACTCGCTCAATTCTTTTTCAAACTGCTGTTTATATAAAAGCATAAGAGTGAAAATTGGTTCAATCATGATTGAGCAAATTATTGTACTTGAAAACAAGTCACAGAAATGGAAAGCGATATTGTTTTACGAAAAGAATTCGTTTTTAATGAAAATTCATCTATGGATGATAATTAATCGTATGATGAAATCACTGAAAATATGAAAACGAAAATGCGTTATCAAAAAGATAAGCATGCATTATCCTGATGGAAAAAGTATTTATGTATGCATCCACAATTATGATGTTTGTCATCAACACTGTATTTCAATTTAACGTCATCAGCAGGGTTGCCAGATCGAGAATTAAAAAATCGGAGAAAATTTTCTTAGAATCGGAAAAATGCCGGAATTTTCGTTCTCAAAATCGGAAAGTATTTTTTTAATGCTTAAATAGCTAATTTTTTCCAATAAAACAACATACCTTATCTTGTTTTTGTTAATTTTTTCGAGACAATATCTGGAAAGATATTTCATAAACAATTAAAGAGAATATAAAGTTAGATATACAGTTTACTNNNNGATAGAACTGAATCTTTGTTGTCTCTAAACCATCTTAATTTTATTGGAGGATGACCTTTCAGAGCATTGAAGTGTGCTTTATTGAGTTCATGACCCTGCGCTATCTAATAATTATAATAAAATAAAGATCTCGCAATATATGTGTAGTATTGAGTCATCGTTAAGTTATTCTAAACTGTTCCAAAAATTTGAATTTAAAAAAAACTCCTAAAACCGGAGAGAAATTAGGAAATTGGAAAGTGATCGGAAAAATATGCTAAAATCGGAAAAAATCGGAACGTCGGAAAGTCGTCGGAAAAAATTTCAAAAATCGGAATTTTTTCTGCCATATCGGAAGATCTGGCCACCCTGGTCATCAGCAACAAGCAAACCTATACATAGCGATATAGATCGAAACTTAGAAGCAGAAAGACAACAAGTGAATCCCGAATCACTTGTTTTTCTGTAGAATTTAAGATGACCTCTTTTTTTATGTCGTTGTTTATGGAAGAAACTATACAGTATACTTTTTTATATTAAATAAAACTTTGAAAACCGTATTGTTACTATGAAAGTATCTGCCAGATGTCAATTAGTCCCGGTCGAGTACAGTTATACGAATCTAATTGTGAAAAGTCGTACCCGTGCAGAATCATATTCAACGCATATCCTAGTGGAAATACTGAACGTAGCGTACTTAACAAAGTATCCTGGTAGCAGTGTGCTCGAGGGACTTAGTCAGATATTCTGCTGAAAACTGCCTCAATACTCGAATAGCCGAAGCGACTACTTGTATGTTTCGAAATGCCTGATGTTATAAATGTTTTCATACATTAGTCTTGTCAAGATCGGTCGTAACTCACAATGATATTCTAAATTTTCAAATTGTCCTTCACAATGAAACCGATCGTTCTTTTGAAACATGTTTATATAAAAACTTTCAGTTCATAGAGATGATATTAATAAAATACCATTGCGCTAAAACTCTTTCAAATGATGTTTCAAAAGGAAAGTTGAAGAAAATGTAATTATTGTTGAACAATATATGTTTGTAATTTTTACACAATCTCAGAATATCTTCGCTATTTATCTCGACAAAAAGTTTTAAGATCCGTCTTTTCTTGTGTTTTCAAGATTGAATAATCAGAATATATGAGCAATTTCAATCCATTAGTCAAGTGGTTTTTCGCAAAATACATATGCTTATATCTTTGGTCTCAGATGTTTCTTTTAGCTTATTTTTATGTAACACATGTATGTTGAGTTACTCTAGATACCCTAAAAAACTCAGTTCTATAGACATTGATACCGTCGAGTCATTATCGAAATACTAGCGTTACTGACGTTACAGAAAAAAAGAAGAAGAAAAGTTTCCATTGTATGCATTTCATTTTATAAAATCCTACAAATTCAAATAGTATTTTTGAAAACTACATCGTGAGTTTTGTATAGGACTTTTCAAACTACAAAATCTCTACTCAAAGTTTTTTCTCAACATGTTAGATTTTTCAAAAAAATATAGTGTATTCTTTGTTAGTGACATGAGTGAATACGAATTTTGGAAAGAAAACTCTTTTTGTAGCTGAATCAGAAGCAAAACCAAAAGTTTCATTCCAGAAAATCGATTTTTAGGAGACTATTTACTAGGACACATTCTTCTGAAAATTTCACGTTGGATATAGTTCATCGTATGCAGGCTGTTCTGACGTTCTCAGACTTTATTGTCATGAAGTTAAAGACTTATTTGTCAAGTACATCTTAATTATTTAAATAATTAAGTTTAAGTAGGTGTGAGCTGAAAGAGGCAATATTTTTAGAAAGACACTTTGAATTACTTTATGAATTTTAGTATTTCAATTGCTACATCGCCATTTATAGACGAAAGTTCAAAAAATATTTCCTTTTATCGAATATGAGCAACAAAAAGAATTTTATAGTTTAATAGAAGGAAATTTGTTCTGTGTATTTTGTGTTTTATAATTTATCATTCGTGAAAGTTGTCAGTGATTTTATTTCTTCAAAAGATTTGGATCAGTTGATGTTATTAAGATCATTATTAACTTAAAGAAGTCTTATACTCCTCTTGACAATCTGCGTAAAACAACCAATTTCTATGATTTTAACATATACTTTTTTCTAACATTTTATTGTGTTGACGCATGAAGTATCAGCGACATCAACATCAACAGTCTATTCTAGAAAAAAGAGAAAAAGGAGAACGGGAGAAATGCATGGCGATAATGACAAAGCATTTTTTTTCCATTACTGATAGGCTATTTTGAGTATAAAAAGTAACGTCGACGTACTAATTTTAAACATTATAATATTTGTTTGTATTTCTAACGGTAAGATACTTCGTCGTTGTTTTCAAACAGCTACTACTAACCTATACAAAATAAGTATGGTTAAAGTACATGTGGTTTATTGTGGTGCATGAGGTTATGGGAGCAAGTTTCGAAAGTTCAGCGATGAACTTAAGAAATCTTGCTCCAATAAAGATCTCGATATTGTAAGTTATGACTTATTTATTTGTTTTACATTAAATTTGATTGAAAAATAAATAAATTTTAGTCCAGTGAAGCAACACCTCAAGTCACTGGATTTTTCGAGGTTACTATTGATGGAAAATTAGTTCATTCAAAAAAAGTAATTATACATTTTCGAATAAATATACATTAATTGATCAATGTCGTAGGGTGGTGATGGTTTTCCGGATACGAAAGATAAGATAGCTAAGATCGTCAAAGCGATCGAAGCAGCTAAATAGTCAAATGAACCTAATATATTAGATAAATATAAAATGAGCAGTGTTGGTATGTCAAATCTTGAAAATAAAAATAAAAAGATCGTACATTATAGTTTTTTTTTTTTTTAATTTTAGAATGTCATCTTGAGATGATTGATTTGGACTGTCGATAACCATAAATGATGTGTTGTGTGATCAAATTTACAAAGTCCTCAATACTGATTCAATCAAAAATTATGATAGTTGTATTTCAATCATCTATGCAATTTAACATTCACATTTGGGACTCTATTTTTGTTTTCTTATTTTGATTTATCTTAAATTTTCTATAAGCTCAAAAAAACTAAAGATGTTTATGATAAGATAATCGAACATCGAAAGTATAGGAAAAGTTTGCTTTATGGGTTCTATTCTAAAAAAACTCGATTTCCACGGAAAAAAAAACTGATTTTTGAGATAAACATATGAACATTGTGTCTGAATTGTTTACTGTATGAATTCATAAAAATAGTTTTAATTCTCGAAGATTCTTGGGAGCTTGATGAATGATCTTTGAAAGTTTTTGGACAAATAGTAACGTCTGGAACATTAACCAAAATTTGTTTTTGTCAATAAAATGTTGTGCATCTTAGTAACACACTTTTCAGATTTCTAATCATTTAAGGGTATGGACGTAGATCTTCTGTTTAGCTACATCCTTAAAATAGGCATTTTAAATAAAAAAACAAGTAGTATATTTCGTTAAGCAACAAGTTAATCTAAACAATTAATTTGTTTTTCTACTTTTATTACCCTGTTGATCGAACTGCAGACAAAATTTTCTCAATATACTTCATTCTGGAGAGTTATGTTTTTTTCTAATCGATAGATATATGCATAGTCATTTGAATGAGAATAATGAATTTTCTAATTAATCGAAATAAAATAAAGTTAACATTAAAAAAAAAAATTCTCATTCGAGATGGTAAGAATTTCACATTCAAGAAAATGCTACCCGAGCTTTGCAGAAAGGTTCATGGAAATCTTCTGAACGGTAAGGTATAAAGACGTGACAGTTTTTTTTCTATGAGCTGAACATCTCAGCAAATTTTCATCAATATCTTATGTATTCTATCGAAGTTAGGTTTTTGAGGGAGAGAGATCTCTTCAATTTTTTTTAATTAAAATTTTTGATTTTTCTATTTAATATCATTATGGCATGTGACAATATCCAGAGTACAGTTGATTTTTTCTTTGCTAATACTTCACCTATGGTACATAAACTTCATGAAGCTGATGGTATTTGAACATATGATTTATGCTAACATCCAAAGTTCATTGAGTGATAAGGAATATAAACCATATAAGAACAATCTTTACTCTAATGCTATTTACATTTTGTTCTAAGCATTATATTTTATGCTCAAAATCGATTTCATGAGGTTTGACACAGTGACGAGACGTTTACGTTTAAATGACTTGCAGTATATTTAAATGAGTAAACGGAAAGGTTTCTCAGTGAATGTATTGAGTTTATAGTATCTGCGACTAGTATGTCATAGAAGCCATTTTCATACTTTTTATGGGCTTCTGACACTTGACTACAAAATGCTTCTAATTGTTTAATCTAGTAACTTGTTGAAAAATATTTCATAGAATACTGTAGTAATTGAGCAGACTCCCATGTACTGAGATAATTCTCATCAGCGTATCCAATTAAGATCCATGACATACTCGTAATAAGGTACTCGAAAAGATACTCTATCGACCGTTGACTCAGTAAACGAGCACCTTGAACTTAGTACATTCACTAGGGTCGGAAAACTAGTGACGATAATAATTTTCTTTTTATATTTATTTTCTTTAATATCTTGTTTTAAAAGTTAATTACCTAGATCAAATAGGTACAGTTGTAAACAACCGTATACCTAATATTCACGGTCATTTACGACCTTCCCTATTCGTCGACCTGCATACATTTAATAAATCAATGTATATCATAAAAACAAACGTTATTTCTATTAATGAATATCGTAGTATGTACTCGTTGTTGTATGTTTTATCGGTGAAGGTTTCTTTTTCAATTGATTGCGTATTGCATTTAATTTAATTATTTCATTACTATATGTGGAACGATGAACAAATGGATAATTGTGGTTTACATGACAATTGTATGATTGATATCTATTGAATGGATAATTGTATTCGATAAATTCATGACGACGCCGGATAACATCACCCATAAATAGAAAAAATTCAATACTGAGTTTTATCCCATTGACAAAATCTTATTAAAAGACTCGGTTTTAATTATTAAAAAAAAATGATTGAACATTTTACTTTGAACTATTCTTCCTGGTAATGAAGTTTCACAAATACAAGGAATTGTATAATAATGTTCTTTAACATAATATTTTTGTTCATATTTTTCATTTTCTTTTTTTGGATTTTCTTTTGTATTGATAAATATTTCTTTATGTGGTGTATAATTATTTTTTTGTTCTAAAAAATCTCTTTCACGTCGATAAACATCAGTCAAATCACGAATATATTGATCAGGTAATAAAACATGAGAATTATCAACAATTGAATTTGATTGAATGTTAGATAATTGTTGAGATTTATCATCAAGTTTATTCCTATGAAAACATCTATATTTAGATATATGATGTTGATGTTCAAGAGATTGATCATGTGGATATATAGTTTGATTTAGAACTTCTGTTGATTGATCATAATTATGTTTACTCGAATTCATTTTATTTCTATAAAAACTAATCAATTATTCGAAATGAAGAATAAATAGCACAATCTAATGAGAATAAAAGCGCTTTATCAGTAATTTAGAAAACTAAAGAATAATCAGAAGAATCTATTGGATATTATTCGTATATGAAGGGCAAAGATGTATTTTAATGATCTTTTACAAAATTCCATGACGTTGTAAAGTGATAGTAATTGATATAGTATATGAGGTATTTTTGTATTGAATATCATCAATATGATCCGTCATATATAATATTTGTATGAAATATAATATACGTGATGATTCCACAATAGGACAAATTGATTTTCATATGTTACCTATTCTCGTATGCCATTTGAACAAGTTATATGCCAATTATTCTTCTTTCTTATACTAGTAGTTTAAAATATATTCGAACACGATCAAGATATTTACCTATATATATATATGAGAATGTATTGACATAAAGAGAGCTTCTTGATCATAACAAAAAAAAAGCCTGACTATGCATAAAAAGTTTTATTGAATCATAAAAGTTAAAAAAAAGAATAGTTAATTATTGATGATGATATTTTCTTTCTCTCGGATAAAGTGCAAAAAAATACAAAAAGTGTTCTCGTTTTTGCTCATTCATATACACCTTTCGCTCGAGTGTAAGTAGATATGTGAGACTATGATACCGTCATCGTCCTATTACTCGTTCATACACTACACGAACATAAAAGAAATTCTCGAATGTGTCACATTACTTTTCACCTTATTAGACAGACGAAACGCTTTTTGAAAACAATCATTAGACTATATATAACTGCCATTTGGTGATAAACTTTATGGTACACAAAATAAAATCAATGAATTTTTTTTCGTTTGTTTTTCATATTCTATTTGCATCAAATAATTTTTTAATACAATTTTTTGTTGCGATTTGGCAAGATTCCGGCGTGACTGATTGATTTCTATTTTCTATTTCAGTCATTCGGTATCTTCCAATATTGCTCAATAATTAACAATCTTTTAGACTAATATTGTTTAGTTTTATTTTTATGATAAAATGAATTTTTAAACTACTAGTTTTCTGTTATTTCTTATTTCTAACTCAATGTTCATTCAAAATTTCATCGATATTTAAACAAGTTTTTCGACAGCATTTGCAATATGTTCGGCATCAATACCATATTTGCTTAATAATTCATCTGGTTTACCACTACGTGCAACTTCTCTTACAGCTAAATGAGCAATTTTAATATTGGTTTGATCAGCTAATGCTGCCATAACAGCTTCACCAAGACCACCTTCAGGATAATGATCTTCAACAACAAGAAGTCGATTTTGTGTTGCATTGACCGATTTAAGAATTGTATCACGATCAATTGGTTTAACTGTAAAGACATCAATAATACGAACAGCTTTACCAACACCTTTAAGTTTTTGTGATGCTTTCACTGCTTCATGTAAGGTAACACCAGCAGCAACTATTGTACAAACATCATTTGATGATTCAACAATAATCTTCAAATGAGAAACAAAAACAAAGAGAGTAGAAAGTTTTTTTTTTTTTTCTTTTTCTGTATTGACATCAAATTTAATCTTACTTTTGCTTTTCCAATTTCAAAAACTTCATCATTTTTATATAAAATAGGAAAGTTTGGTCGACTTGTTCGAATATAAACAGCTCCATCATAATTAGCTGCTATTTCAACAGCACGTTCAGCTGAAACAGCATCCGATGGATAAAAACAAACAATATTTGGTACAGTACGAAAGAAAGCAAAATCTTCAAGTGCCATTTGTGACGGACCATCTTCACCAATTGATACACCAGCATGTGAACCAACATATTTAGCACGTGTAAATGATATTGCACCCATACGAATTTGATCAGCAGCACGTAAAAGAAAAGCTGCAAATGTATGAGCAAATGTTATGTAACGTTGACGACTTGCAACTCCAATAGCAACTTGTATCATATTTTGTTCAGCAATATAACATTCAATAAAACGTTTTGGATATGCATCCTATATCAATGCCGAAAAAAAAAATATATAATATAAAAACATATTATTGAAATATTGGATTTTTTATATTTCATAAACAGAATTATTTAGGGTTTTTTTTTTAAACAAAATATAAATTTACATGATTCTCGTTTAGAAATTGTTTTTGGTTCAACTATTTTTCAAAAGCACAGAAATAAATTATGTTTTTCGCTACGCAGGAATGAACGAGTATAAAATCATAATAGACAATCGTTATGAGTGTGACAGTAAATATTTTTTAGAAGTTTCTTAATTGTTGTTTAACAACAATTTAGTTTTTCCAACGAAACAATATGAAATAGTGGAACTATCAATCTGTTTGCAAAAAAAGAAATTGCAGCAAGCAGTAGTGACAGTTGCATGAACGTAAGCAATTATCAAAAGCTTAAATCTTAATACAAGAAAAGTTTGATTTTATGTAATTTTTTGGAAACCATAATTTGAATCAATAATTACTAGCGTGAATGTTTTTATCGTTAAAAGTGTTGAGAATATTTTTTCATGAAAAATAGAGAGATAAAATTGAGTAGTTTTTAATCATACAAGGTGCTCTTCAATTGAAAATCTTTCTTGCACCATAGATAACAAAAGAAAAAAAATAACAGTAATCCAATTGAGAAAAAAATATGAATGCGTCTTCTAATCTGGATCAGCTCAGAACTTCTCTATACATCCCTCTTCTAAATCAATTGAACTGCATTCTATACGGAGAGTAAACAATCACGAGGGAAGAATTTGTCGTTTGAGCTCATATTAGGTCTACAAGAAGGTCTTCGTAGAATTAAAAAGAGTTCAAACGAATTCTTACCCATTGATCTCGACAGCTGACATGAGTTATGACCGTTTTATTGAATTTTCGACCCATTTTAAAGTATGTATTGAAACATGGGTCGAAGATTCAGAAAAACAATTATAACTCATGTCAGTTCCAGAGGACAATGGGTACGATTTCTTTTAAGCTGTTGCTAATCTTAGTGAGACTTCCTTGAAGGTTCAATATTATGTCAAACGGCGGGTACTAAGTTCGGGTAGTTTTCTCGTCGAAAATTTATCGTTATGTTAAAAACACACTATTTACGACATACAACTTTGTTACATCCTTCCAAAGCTTCATCGCATTACATTTACAAAAATTTGTCAATATTTATGTCTTTATTTATTTAGTCGACGGTTAGTACTGTTTTGAATCAACTCGATTGAATAATGTTCGAACAGATATGATTTATTACCTAGATTATTTGCTTAAAACTATAGAGGATTTCAGTTCCGGGCGAGACAACTTTCTTCTTAATAGTCTAGATCTTAGAAATTTCTCTTTCCTGTGGTTCCGGTCACATACACACACCTCCACTCTCAATATTTTCTATTAATATTTCAATAAAATAACTTACACGAAATTTGATCGAAAAAGTTGAGTTTTTTGTATCACCATCTAATGCAATAACATATTCGCAAGCTTTGCCTAATTTTTCAAGAGCAGTACCATGTGCAAGACGTGTAGCTATCTTTAAATAATTGAAAAAGAGAATTTTTTTTTTTTCTGAAAATTAAATCTTTCTTTATTCAAACCTCTTTTTTACCATCATAATTTGGTGGTGATGATAATTTAATTTCTTTGTCTTTTTTAATTTCTCGAACTTTAGCAGTAATTTTTGCAATTTGTGGTCGAACTAATGTTTTTTCATTAACTAATTCTCTTAAATGGGCAACAATTTCATTTGCTTTATCACCCAATGGTTTTCCATGCCAATCTAATTCATTTTCAATACCTTTTAAACCACTACCTTTAAATGTTTTTGCTAGAATACATGTTGGTTTATCTTTTGTTTCTGATGCTTCTTTAAAAGCAGCAAGTAATTGACGGACATCTTGTCCATTAACAACAATTCCATGCCATCTAAATTATTATTTTTAAATAAAAAATAAAATAATTTCTTTTATTTATTTATTCATTTTTTCTTTACCCAAATGCCTCAACACGTTTACGATATGTTTCCATATCATGTTGTAATGGTGCTGGATCACTTTGTCCAAGTCGATTAACATCAATGATAGCACAAAGGTTATCAAGTTTATAAAATGAACCAAATGCAAATGATTCCCAAACACTACCTTCTGAGCATTCACCTAGAAAAAAAACAAAATATTTTATGTTTAAATTTGACAAAAAAAAAAGAAGATAAAACAACAAACTAACCATCACCAAGTACAGAATAAACTCGATAATCGGATTGATCAAAATATTTTCCAGCATATGCCATACCACATGCAAAACCTAAACCTTGACCTAATGATCCGGTAGCAACATCAATAAAATTTAGCCGCTTAAGAAAAAAAAGAAATTTTAATTATAATGTTTTTTTTTTATTCAAGAAGAAACATACAGGTGTTGGATGGCCTTCGAGATCAGAATCGATTTTTCGTAAATTTTTTAAGTCTGATACTGGAAAAGCACCAGCTTCAGCCCAAGCAGCATAAAGAATCGGAGCGCAATGTCCCTGAATATATATACGAATATTATTTTTACTTCAATAAAAATCATTTTTTTTCTTCTTTTATTATTTACTTTAGAAAGAACAAAACGATCACCAGCTGGATTACGTGGATCCTTTGGATCATAACGCATAACATTAAAAAAAAGTACGCTTGTTATTTCAGCCATTGATGAACAACTAGTTGGATGACTATATTCAAGAAAATTATACAAAAACAAAAATTATTAAATACAATAAAAAATAAATTAAATTTTACCCTGAATTTGCTTCTTGTGTTGATTCAATACTATGAATACGAAGCAAATTAGCTAAACGTTCCAAAGTAGTTACTGTATTTGTATCCGACATTTTCGTTGGTATGTAACTGATCTGAAAAGAAAATGATAGATAACTTTTGTATGGTTGCGGCTTATACGATATGAAATCTAAAGTACAGACGCATCAATATCCATTTCTTTTCTTCGTCGTATTTTAGACTTCTTATATCGGATTCACGGTTATTGTTGGACTTAATAAAATCGACAAATAAGTAAATGCCACAAAAAGAAACTATAAATATCAAGGGCTCTTTCAATATTAATTTTTATTGACGTAAAAAAAAGTTATACGTGATGATAAGAGCCCCATCGAACAACAGACCTTAGATATTCCATTGGTTTTCTATTTAATAAGCAATGACGTAGATGGCGTCACTTTTTGATCTATGTTAGAGAATTGACTTTGGACTTGGAAATTATTCCTTTTTTGAAAATATATTAAAACTCATTAATATTAGGATCTACGAATATTGTTGATTGTCTAAATAAAAATTAATTAAATAGAACTCATAATTTTGTTACATAGAAAAAATGATAAAAACAATTTTTCCCGAAAATATAAGTTTGATGTCTAATTAATACATTTGATTGATATGTTTTCTCTATTACATTGTATTGTTATAATCAATAATTAATTTTATACATAACACAAAAAAGTTGTAAAGCTATCATATTTTTTTATATACTTTTCAAAAAATACATGTAACTTCCAATGCTGTTCATTTATCAATTTTACCATCGATTATTATTACAATATATTTCGTCACGCTAAAATTCATTTAAATTTCTCAGTTAAAATTTATTTTAAAGTATAAATTGATTAATATTCTATTTAACAAATAAACACATTGTTTCTGTAATTGTTTAAATAAAAATTATTCAAAAATTGGTTTTCGACATATAGGACATTGAAGTGATGTTTCTTCGTCAGTCTCAATCCAAGTATGAATACATTCTGTATGAAATATATGTCTACATGGTAAACTTGAACATTCATTTTTCTTATCCATTGTTGCTAAACATATTGAACATTGATTGTGTAATTCCTCATCTTTACTTAAACTACGAGTTTCAATATGTATTGGTAATGGATTTAAATTATATGTTTGATAAATATCCACAACATTTGTCCATCTACTAGTATTCATTATCCGCCATTTACAACGACTTAAACCAAACTTTTCAGCACGTACACGATTTCCACACAGAGGACATTTGAATATATACATACGAGAAATAGTAAATTCGCCCATTTCTAGATTACCAATGACCATTTCTTTATGTGCCTTACATCGACCATTTGTAGTTAAACATCGACCTTCAAGACATAAACCCGGATCTATATTACGCCATGAGATAGGCTTCGCATTCGAAAATTGCATTTCCGTTCGTTGTTTATTATTCATTTTTATTGACTATTTTTCTTTTCTACCTCTATATGTAATATTGGCAAGCGTAACGAATAAAAAGATATGACAGTCGATAACTGTAGGTGAATAACAATATGCTTATGGATATTCGTAAATAGATGGAGAAAGAGACTGTATCTTAGCAAAAGCTTGAATATATTATTTTCTTTTTTGAAAAAAGTTTATTGTTAAAAAAAATATCATACTAAATTACAGTATTGCTTTGTTTTTATTTCTATCTCTTTGAAATCTTAGATTAACTGAAATATTTTAGTTAAATAACTATTTCGAATTAGATGATATGATAATAATAAAAGTTATCAATAGTTATTTAGGATTTTTTGATTTCTGATTAAAAGCTCTAATAAAAAAGACCAACAAAAAAAAACACGCTATATGGTTCAATGAATTCTACAATGTAAAACATTAATAATAAAAAAAAAAAAACCAATTCAATAATTCTATCTTAAGTGCCGTTTCAAGATAAAGAAAATAAAATACACAAATGACTACATCAGAACATAGAATCATTCATACTTTCATTGTCGCATGACATCAGTTTTTGTATGATTTATTTAATATTTGACGCAATTTTCTATTTGTCAATAGTCAAATATTGATTATTTGATCGTCATTATTCATCGCCAAATGTTTTATATGATTTCAAATAACAGAAACAAATTATCTATCAATAGTGAACTTTCGAAAGATAATGGTAACCGATGTCAATGGCATTTTCATCATCAAAAAAAAAATAGATTCATTTTTTGTTTGTTTGTATTGATCTAAAACAATGCATTTTCTTCTATTAATTCTTTTATTTCAAATTATACCATTGATCTATGGAAATACTGAGAGTGAACCAAGTAAAACCAAGTCTGAATCTCATTCTTCTCCAACCAATGAACTTGGTTTAACATTTGGTCATACAATATCTAAACATGATAATGTTATACTTATTTATTTTGATATATCAAATATAACATTAAAAGAATATCGATTTTATTATTTTAATTTTCGTCCATTTGGTACATTTAATGGTATTGAATATTTACCACGACAACGTCTTCTTGATACACATAATTCATTACGTATTGTTGGTTTACATGAAGGTGATTATGTATCATGTCTTTCATTTATTGATGAATATGAAACAATATTTAATCCTCGTTATGCTTGTTATGAATTTACATTAGGTGAAAAAATTGTTGGTGCACATCATGGAGGTAAACAAAATTATTTGGCACCATTATTATTTATTTTTGCTTTTGTTTTACATATTTTTATTGCTATTGTTCATTATATTAAATCAAAAAATTATGCACAAAAATTATTACATCGTTTTATGGATGTTACATCAAAATCAAATAGACGAAAAGTAAATCTTAGTCGTTCATTAAGAGAACTTGATAAAGAACTTGATCATCCACATATACCAGCATCTGTTCAACGTCGTTTATCACGTGTTACTATTGATGCTAGTAATGAAAATGATTCAACTTATCGAGAAAATTCTTTAGTTAATGATCCTAATGATGAATTACCACTTTATACTTTACCTCATCATAGTCGAAGAGTTAGTTTAGTTACAATGCAAGCAATACCAGAAGATAGAAATACAGATACCATGGATAGTGTATTATCTGTTCGACATTTAATCGATTCAACTCCATGGATAAAACGTGCAAATCGAACAGTACATTCATCAATAACACGAAAAAATCAATCGCATGTTTAGGAAGAATAAATATGAATTTTAATTTCTATAACATATGAAGGATGTCCTAAAAGTTCATCGGGAAAGTTAATGTAAATTTCTTTTATACAATTCAAATGATTTAGTTGATTTATTAAGATAATATGTAAGTAACAAGTGAGGCAGGATACATTTTATTAAAAAAAAAAAAAATAATAATATATCACAACAATTCTGTGTAACTAGTTTTCACACTGTGAATAAAATCATTTGTTGGTACACAATGAATTCTTTCTCTTATTCTATCAATTAATGAATCATAACTTTTAACTTTAGTCTATCGGCTACGTTTCGGAAGTTTTTAGAAATTTGAACCGGTGTCGAGTAGTGTCACATATCCAAGATTTTGGAGATGCCACCGCATCTCCAGCGGGAGACGCGGCACCCACACTCGGGAGATGAGGTCATTCACCACTGGAGATGTGGTGGCATCTCCAAAATCTTGGATATGTGACACTGCTGCCGGTGTCATACCATTATTAATCATTCGCATAATCACTTTTCGTAGATCTTCAGATTTTATTTCTTTTTATTAAGTGATACGCGTTTACCAATTATGGTCATCGATATCACACACTAATTAAAGAAATAAGAGAATGAATTCATCGTGTCCGAAAAAAGAACAACAACTTTTTCTCAGTATCGAAATTCGGTCACATGGAATTTTGTCTGTTTTGAAAATTAAAGATGCATATATAAAAATAAGCTTTGCATTGTAGAGTTTTTTGCCCTGCATCTTGTGGTATTATTTATCTTTTTAATAAAATGTTATAGATGAGAAAAAAAACAATAGAACACAAAATGCAACCATTTATTCTGATCCAGCTGTTATGTTCTTTAAAGTTATATTGTGTATATTTTCAGACAAATGCCTGCTAGAGTCAAAATAGTAGTGTAAATGACGAAATTAAAGTTACCTATAGTTGTGAAACGAAAACTGCAAGTCAAGTTCGACAAAAATCATCATGCTTATGAAAAATGAACAACAATCAAGTGTTCGAGCTGTCGCAAAGGTTAGCTATATTCTACGAACAACAATGCGCCGAATTATGATTGAATATCTTTCATTGAAATCGTACATGGTGCACTTTATTTGTGGAATGAAGCAGATCTTTGCAACAGCTCGAATATATGATTGTGATTCATTTTTCATAAACATTATGAACTTCGTCGACTTTTTCTTCTATGATTTTTTATGTTCTAGTATATTTTTGTTGAACTCGACTTGCAGTTTTCATCTCACAACTATAGATGACTCAAATTTAGTCATATATGAAACTATTTTTATTCTCGCAGATATTTATCTGAAAATATAGAAAAGAAAATTTTAAAGAATATATTTACATAGTATAAAAAAAATCAATAAAATTGCTTGACTTGTACATAATATATTTATGTTATCTTTCCTGACGGACTTTTAGGATTTTTTCAAATATTTATGTTAATTTTCTCATAATCATGCTTATTTTTAGATATAGATTACTTTTTTTTGTTATTTTTAAATAGAGATTTGATAATAAATTGATGGATTAACGAAATGATGTTGTTCAAAAACAAACAGACTTGAATAAGTCCTTACTCCCTAATAATCAATCTTTGACTAAGTGCATTCAAACTACATGAAATTTTCAGCCCTATGCCATACCGTTTTCAAGAGATAGTCAATAAGCAAGAGTCAAAAATAACTTTTTTGGTAAGCAAAAAACCTCTCTTGGCCTTCATTCTAATTTATTTATAACAGTGCTCTTTTATATATAATAATAAAAAAGCTTAATTCAAAAACTGAACATTGCAGCTTTATATGCGCTCTTTCAAACAAAAAACAAAGTAATTGCCTACAACGAAACTTCTTCAAGAATTCTAGGATGCACAATTAGAAAAGCTTGGACAAAAAACGACGTGCCAAATAAAAAGCTATATATCGTCTATCAAAAATCAGACCCCGAGCTAACTCAATTTCGATTTATCGTAAGGGTAGGCCTAAAGAGTGTTAAGATGATTTAGTATCATTATGATTAGAATCCTTCGGAACAAATTTTCTTGTAACTAGAAAATCTATTCAAAATTGCTCTACAAAACTTAACTGATAATACACGATATAAAATATGGCTAAATATAGAATGCTTATTTTTGAAGCCACAAATCCAAGTTTATAACGAAGTGTACAAGTTCCTTCTTACTTTCGAAAATTTATCAACGGGTAATCACAATGCAATTATATGTTTAAAGAATCTTTGACTTCGCACTATTAATATTGACTTGAAGAGAATTGCAAATAATTTAATTTCATAATTCTAGTATTTTTTTTTCTATAACGAACAATCTTCCGAAAGGATTGTTCATTTCCTATTAATTATTATTCCGAAGTATATGGTCGTTAGATAGTAAGTAATTGCTTATGTTAAAATTTGAACATCGTATGGCATCTATATGTTACGTGTTACAATATGTCGATATATGTTAAATTTAGATTATAATATGAGAAATTTCTGCATTTCTATAAACTATATTGAGAAAAATTAAATATTTATTCAATGATTTTTTCTTTATAAAATACAAATTTACTTATTGAAATGTTACTTTGAACGATACCTTTTATGAATAATTAATTTTATTAAGTTTTCCACTAAATTAATAATCAAAATCATTTTCTATTAGTCAATTATTATCAATATTAAACATCAACTGTTTCTTCATTTTAATTCACAAATTACCAGCTTCTTAATTGATTGAAATAAGATCGAAACAATATTTTATCATTCTCACATGTACACCTCTATGTTTATTCAGGCGTAACAAACACATTGCTTATGTCTATATACTTCCATTTGTCACATCACGGCCACCCAAATTGATTCTCTACTATTACAAAAGTAATTGCTTTAAACGACAAGGTAGTACGACAGAAAAAAAGATAGTGAGGTGTTCAAGGTAGTCGTCCGTTTTTCATTCAATATCAATCAATAAAAAAGAAAATGAATAATAATAATTATAAGAATGAAATTGTTGATGACAGTGATAATCAACGTTTTCGTCGAATACGTACAGAATGGTTTCACAAAACACAACAACCATCTGTACCCAATCTATACGAACAAACAATAACAACAACGACAACGACAACTACAAATAAAGAATTAAATTCAACAACAGATGAAATGACAACAACTAATTTAGAAAAAAGTCCAATAAGACGTGTTAATCTTGTTACAGGACCACGATCAGCATATGCTCGTCTTTTTCCTGATAAATATCGACAAGAACAAGAAGAACTTGCAAGAAGACAACGTTCAAAATCATCCGATGATCAACGTTATGATTTCGATCGAATTAAATATCAACGAATACCTTGTAACAATAATGATAATGAAGTAATAACAAAAACTCGTCAAGTTTCATTTTTCGATGAATACAATGATGAAATTTTATCTAATCAAAATCTTTTAAATACTCGTACAAAATCTGAATCACATATTCAGGAAAATTTAGCCCATATTCCACTTAATTATGATCCTGATCCAGAAATAATCTATCGTGATAATCCAAATAAACTTGTTTATGTACAAAAAATCGGTGTTCGATATTTAAAACCTCCAACACCACCACCACCTGAACCAATTATTGTTCGAGAAGTACAATCAACACCACCACAAGAGCCACCACCACTCTTTGTTTCAACAACACCGTAAGTTTTTCAAAATAATTTATTTTTTTATTTCATTATTTAATAGACCAATTATACCACGTACTCCATCACCATTGATCGTACGTGAACAACCACCAACTCCACCCCGTCATCAATCAACAAAAATTATTACTAAAACTTTACCACGTCCACCAACACCACCACGTCGTGTTATTATTAAACGTGTTCCTCCTTTACCAGCTAAACCTCGACCAGTTATTATTGAAAAATGGTTACCATATAAAACACCACCAGAACGAACTGTTATTTATGAACGAGCACAACAATCAGAACAAACTCGTCATACACAACGAAATGTTATTCTACAATATGAACCAGCAAAAGTACGTATTGAACAAGAAATTGAAAATGTTGGTTGTTTTCGTGTTGATCCAGAAATATATCGTGCACAATTTGGTACATCACTTCGACGTACAGATAGTATTCGAAAAGTTTTACAAGATATTGGTTGTAATCCAGATATACTAACATCAACTGGAAATCGAACATATTATTCATCAAATCAAGATAATTATTCATTATCAACATCACATTATGATTATCCAAAACGAACAAAAACTTGTTTTACTGATGAAGAATTATCTGCATTAATTGATTCAAGAAAAAATACTAATCGTCATTATGATTTATCGTCAACATCGAATAATCAAAATAAAATGTATTATTCAACAATTTTATCAAATAGTTAAATAATAACTTCGTTTTGTGACACTTCTTTTTTTTAAATGACTATTATTATTATAGAAATTTTTGCAAAGTTAGAAGATAGAAATCATCTTCTCGATTATAATATAAATACGAATATATTTCATTTTATATATTTATAAAAAAAAAAAACAACCACAAAGATCTGCAAAATACTAATATACAATTATTAGATAAGTTAATTAACTTCGAAAATTAGTATAATGCTATTCGTACAAATGCCAGACGAAAAATTTACATCATACAAATCTTAAAATCAAAGTCTTTTTCATATGAAAACATATTTTATTTAGATTAAATATTTGACCTTGGAATCATTTACTGATTATTTTTTATAGACATGGGATTCCAAAAAGACTAGTATAACAAAAATACATCAATGTCTAAAATAATTCTCATTTTAGTCTACATTAGAGAACGTCACAAAACACTCGAGTCACCTAGTTGATCATGATTCAATAAAATTCTAGTCTACGAGTAAAACTTGTTATGATTTTCCATTATTATCAATAGTAGCTAGAAGAGTTGATGCCATACTAGCGACTAGTGCTTCAATAGAAAGATTATTTAATTCACGAGGGAATCTCTTCAGGTGTCAAATCGCTTTTCCGCCGAGACGATGCTCTAGTTTTCTGGATCTTCGTTCTCAAGATATCGAAACTATACTAACTTTCTCAACAAGAAGCTATGGTCTTCCTCAGATCATATGGACAATCGATTTTCCACGAACAAAGTTCTTAATGAGATTAGTTTATTGTGCAAGTTTTAGCTTTTCTTTTCTGAACATGAGCAAAATTTGCTTTATCATATGAGAGAATTTTAAATACTGAGTATCTCATGATAAGAGGTACTAGAAAAGTCACAAGTTTTCCAATAAAGTAATCTCATTGAGAACTTTGTTCGTGCGAAGTTTGACGTCGAAACTCAAAAGTTTATTTTCCATATGATCGAAAAGGAATCGCAGTTTTTTTGTTGAAAAATTTAGTAGAATTTCGATATCTCAAGAAACGAAGACCAAGAAAACCAAACAGTTTTAGACTTTTCTATTACTCACTTGTATTCATCAAATAAATATTGTTTTTGTCGAAAAGTGATTTGACACCTGAAGAGATTTCATTATCAACTGGATTGACATTTACTCAAAGACGAACATGTTTATCACCTAGTCAAATTGATGACACATTATGTGTTCGTTCGTTGTCCTGCAGAATACAAGACTGGACGAAGAAAGTCATCCTGTGATGTTCGTCGATCTGTATAATCCATTACATATCTACAAGTGTAAACCGATGCGTCGTTTGACGACGGTAGCTAAATTATTTTTTTTGAATTCGAGACTGATTCCATATGTCGTGAATTCTTAAAAATCAAATATTAATTTTTGTGTCACGAATGCGAAGGCTCAGCCGATCGACTTACTTCACTTCTGTAAAGGTCTTCTTTTTTCAATGAAACTTCACATACTTGAACATGAGAGAATATGTCAATAATTTGATACAATTAACAAAATTAACGACAAGCAAATTGATTTCTAGCTTCTAATAATAAAAACTTACACTTGTTTAAAGCTACACTATGCATTTAAATTTTTTCATAATTCATAGGACAATTCTAATCGATAGATGTCTCGAATGATCAGTTATTGCTTATTCTATTATTCAACCAACATATAAAAGCGTTGTTGATAGGTTAAAGTAATCAGTCAGTTAGTTACGGTTGTCAAGAGAAGTGCAAGTAACATATTTATTCATCATTTTCTATTACGTTAACGATGGTTAAACTACATATAAAACATGGTGACGAAAGTCAATTTTTATTAGAAACAACAACCAATACACCAATTGATAAATTAATTAATCAAATATCACTTATATACAATGGTCGACTTAAAGTTCATCGAATTTGCAATGGTATATTATAAGTCCATTTTCTTACTATTTACATTTTTCTATAATCTTGTTTATTCTTATAGAAATGTCCATGTTAGCTAAACATGGTATAACATTACCTGTTAATATGCAAGGTTTAACTGAAGAACAAATAACAGACTTAAAATTAAAAGATGAATATGCTGATAAATGTATACCAATGGATGGTTATGTTGAAGCAGAAGATGTAACTGGAAAACGAAATGGACGAGGTAAAGATTTTATTTTTAAAGAATTTTTTGTTTATTTTTTTTTTTTTTGTAAATTAAAATTTTCTTTTTAGCTCCAACAGAAAAAATGTGTTCAATATTAGAACGTACAATTCAAGAAGCAAAAGATAAAATTTCTAAAGTATAAAACAAACATCAATGAAAACAAAAGTCAAATATTTATTTTTCGTCTTCTAGAAATTAGTTCAAGCTGATCAATGTGTAACATGTGATCAAATTAATGAAGCATTACAACAATTAAAAGGTGCTGTTATGATTGTTTATCCAATGGATTTACCACCTTATGATCCAATTGAACTTGAATTTAAAAATCAAGAAGAACTTGATGGAACACAAGTAAATACATAATTATATATTTATAATGATTAAGAAAAAAATGAAATAATTGAATTTTGATTGAAAAAATTATTACTATGATTTTTAAAAACAAAAATATTTTGAATTGCTCGATTCTAGAGGTGCAAGTCGATTGACTGAGTAGGCCCCGTGGATCAATACATCGGTTTTCACCTCTAATCCAATCGTACATATTTAACTTTCAGCTACATGCTTAATCATCATAGAGACATTTCTAGTAACCTGTAAATGCCTTAAGGATCGTAAAAAAAATCTGTCTTTTACAGAGGTGTAACTCATCACTTAAACAGCTGGACGTTATGTCCCCCATAAGTTACGCCTATGGTCTTCTAGAAAAGAATATGTCTATAGACTATGTGAATCATGTCGGTTCTAGTGAGTTATGAATATCCTGCAAAAAAGAATTGGAGCCCTTCGTTTATTACCTTGGATATACTACATTTTTACCGGATTTTTTTAAAACAAAGCTTGTGATTTCCCTGAGCGACATCATGAATTATGATTTTCGAATTTCAATTCGAAACTTTGCATAGAAATCGACCTTAATGACAACAATCTATTGTAAAAGTTTTAGATCTTTTGACATACTTCTGTCGTCAAATAAAAAAATTGAATCTAGCAGTGTATATGAACGATATGAAGAACACACCTACATCATAGCTGCATCTTAGGATATGAACAGCAAATCAGTTCTTTTGGTATGTTCTGAGTGGAGATTTTCCTGAGTATTTATACTGCATTAGAGTCTGCATAATGCATATAGTTCAGATTGAAAGGTAATTAATTAGTTGAAGAACCTTCTATGCTAACCAGACCATCTAAATTATAACAAAAGTAATATTTTCGTAAAACTATCTAATCCTTTTTTTCTTTTTTAAGGATAGTCTTGATGTTATTCCAGAAACTGATATGACACTATGGTTTAGTGGTAAAGAAATGCAACGTGGTAAACTTTTGTCTGATTTTGTTGGTAAAAATGAGAAAACAAAACTAATTGTTAAAATTCAAAAGGTTTGAAAAGAAAAATTTCATTCACATAATAAAAAAAAAAAAAAAAAAAAAAAAAAGTGTTTTACCTTAATTTTTTCTTTTAGAAAGGTAATGCTGCACCAGCTCGAGAACATGTTGTATCAAATGAAGAACAAAAACAAATGATGGCTTATTATTATAGAAAACAACAAGAACTTAAAGTAAGAACAACAGAAAAAAAAAATCAACAAACAAACAAAAAGATTCTTATTCGTTATATTTATATTTTTATTTGAATAAAATAGAAACTTGAAGAAAGTGAAGATAATTCATATATGGATTCTGAATGGGCTGATCGAAATGCATTAAAACGTTCATTTCAAGGTCTTAATGATATTAAATGGAAACCAAGATAACTAAATATGACCATTTTTATTTTTTTGTTGTATGATGTTAATAAAGTTTAAAACGAAATAATATCACCGGATATTGACTATAATAAATTTTATGTTTATACATGACTAAAATCATTATGAGTTCGACAATTATAACGATAAACAGGTAAATAATAAGGTTTATCATCATCATCACACTCCATATTCATTGTTGATGATTGATAATCAGATTTTATTTTAAAACGTTTATCAATATATAAAACAATAATAATCGTCATAAAAATAATACTAATACCAACTAAACAACCACATAAACAATATAAGATAAAACGTTCTGAATTTTCTATATTGAAAAAGTAAAAAAAAAAAAAAATCATTGTCATGTATAAGAAAATACTCTTTCATACCGCGAACAAATTCACATGTTTGAAGCCAATCAATAACAAGCATTGATATATATTTTATTCATAACCCTATAAAGATAAGTCTATTGAATGTTGAACACGTGTAGGATTTTCTATATACATATGCGATTCATTTTTTTTTCATATGAATATTCCTTCGTCGTTATCATATATATATACATGTAGATTATTACATAAGAAAGACTGATTAATTCAAAGAAAAAAAAAATGAGGTTCTCGCTCAGCAAACATACATCTCGAATCGATCAAACAGAAACACAAAATGTTCTGGCAGATGGCCAAGGTAAAAAGAAGAATTCCGAATAGGCACTTTCATTAAATCATATCAACCTTGTTAGGCGATACGAAGAAAAGTCTCTACAGATGTATACTCATTCTCGTTTGCAGCAATAAGATTATCTTGATAACAATTAACGTCCTACTTTTCTTTCTATTCTCTTAACAAAACATGCATATATATGCAATCAATAAGTATCTCATCAATTCCTTGATCAATAGAGAAATCTATATCTATCGATTGCAACAGTCTAGTAGTTAATTTCAATGTTCTTAGTTATTCTCCACCCCCTACCGATAGATATATCATACGGCATGATCATGATCATCATCATCAAATTTTTATCTTTCTCTTCTCAGTGGTTTGCTTATACAACTGCTTTGATGTTGCTCTGCTGTCTTTCGAACTTTTGTTATTATATATGGTAGACACATATGAAGATGAGCAAAAAAAAAAGAAAAGAAAAAGATGCAAATAATTATAGTCTTCTTCTTTTTCCGATTTCATCAAATGGTTCCGTATCATTATAACAACGAAGAAAAACATGATTGATTATTTCATCAAGTTTTTTTCTCGAAAATTTTGTACAAATTTCCATTGATTCTCGTGTTCGATTTTTTACACATATTGAATGTTGATTTTTTAATAAAAATGGTCTTGATGATGTTGAAAAATGATTAAATAAAGAACATTGATTTGATAATGATGCTGCACGAATTTCTGTACATGCAAGATGATATGGATTATTAAAATCAATATTTACACGACAATAATCATAAGCATGTATAAGTTCATGTTCAAAAATATTACAAAATTCTTCTAATGAATGAAGATTTTCAGGATATAAAACTAATTGACATGTTGAACGATCAAAACCGCCTCGTCGATTTTCACCATTCATTTCACATGTTAAATGACGATCAAAATTAAATGTACAACCATGAGATGACAATGCATCTAATAAACAACGAATAGATTCACGTGATGCAATACATTCATGTGCTTGATTATAACAATGACGAATTTTCGATTGTGTTTCATCTGACATTTTTCATCAACCTAAAATTTTCAAGTCTATAGATTTCATTTTAAACATCAATTTTAATAATTGTATAAAAACTTATCGTTCGAAATAATACGAAAACATTAAAAAGAATTATTTTTTATTCATTGATGTAAATAAAATGTATTATAGTGAAAAGAAAATTCGATGGATTTTACCTATGGAAATATTTTTCATGATTTATTTAAATCATATTTACAATAATCTTGTTTTAATGGTACACTCATTCTCTTTTCGTCGATTTTTGGTTCTCGGAGAGAATATAATTGATTCGCATGAAATTATTACTACAGATCGAGCACCTAAAATAAGGAAGTATATGTTCGAGGCATAGAGTTTTTGAATAAAGTTTCCAGTTATTTTCTGGAATACTTAGATTTTCCATAAAACCGTATCGATCCTGTTTACCATCTCCGTCTAACATTGAACGATAGGGCTGAAGTGTTTAGCATAGGTATTTAGCAGTAATCTGCAGAGGTGATATTGGCCGTTTTCGTTTTAGACATTTGTATCTTGACTTATAGAGCTCAGCGTGCCATCATCTTAGTTTGAAACTGAAACGTTTACGTATTTGTCTCATACGAAAAAGGAAGTCAGATTTTTAAACAAGCTTAAAATCGCTTCTGAAATACAGTCTACGGTATCCCATGGTTTTCTGAAAAAAAAACTGAAAAAACTTTTTTTCGAACATGTGTCTCCTTATTTTAAATGATTTAACTGTGATAAAAGCTTAATGGGTATTGGCTGTATCCTCTTCAGGAACCAAAAGAAGAACAAGGGACTCTTAAACCTGTTTCATTCTAAATTCTCTTTCCATCTAATTAACATCATCAAAAAGATCATAAAATACTTGCGAGCTGTTTTAACAGAAACTGTGTGAATTCAAACGAAATAAAATAGAAAAGTGAAGAACGATCATCTGAACGTCACTAAAAAACATATGATAATGTTGTAATCAGAAAAAGTTAATTATTTCTTCTTTCAAAGTTTAGAATAATTCCAATTTTTTTCAGGACTTCGTGAAATCTGAGAAATACAAAAAGTTTCATTGATTTTGAAAAATCGTAACTTATTCGAATCAAAAAAAAACTGTATAGAAAAATTAATTTTCTACATTAATAAGTCAATGGCAACATCATATCCAAATATTTCTGTGTCAAAAAGAAAATAACATTGACTATCTTTTGATACATTAATCAAATGTAAATATATGCAGCTAACTTAATATAAGAGAAACAGTATTAATTAATAAAAATATTTGTTCTTCTAGTGATACACATCTATTGATACAATGAATTAGGATAATTGAAAAAATAATGTGATCAGTATTTGATTGACATCTTTCAATCCTCGATATTCCAGTATAATCAAAGAAGATAATAGTAGACCTTCATAGTTGATCACATGAAGTACAAGAATAATTTACTGCTGATGAAACAATATGTATCAGACATATATTATATATCTAAGGAGGTTATGAGAAATTTTCATGAATTTCTTCAATTCATTTTTAATATTATTTACTTTGTATTTCTATTTTAAAACAAGTAGCAGTTTATAAACTATTGAATTCGAATGACAATCATTCTAGCACATGATCAGTAATCATGGAACGTCTTAGAACTAGAACCAGCAAACTTTATAAACAAAAAAAAAGTTCGTCAATATTATTCATGATAAATAAATAATTCTTATTAATTTCTACCTTAAATTGATCTGCTTTTGTTGGTACATCAATAAGAGAAAACTATTCCATCTGAATGAATTTTTAATTTAAGTTTATTTCTTTATGTTAAATAAGATTTAACTAACTATATTAAAGTTCTTTCATTTTTTAGTCTCAACATAAAAGCAGAAACATTTGATATTATTGCTTATATTTGAGGAAAAAAAAGAATGCTACTCGAATGAGTTATTCCATTTATATCATTGCAGTCAGATAGCCTAAGCTAATAAAAGAAAATTTCAATTATTGAATATTGATTTTCTTTTACTTTGATTCGATGCTGAAGCTAACGAGAGAATTTTTTTCAACTGTCGAATGTCGATCAAACTCATAGTTTATTCATAAGTAGTACTCAGTAAAATTTGAGAAAGCTAAAAAGAAGGGATTAGTGAGATATGTCTTGTTCGTTTGGGTTTATGATCCTTTTAATCAATTTCTAACCTGATGTTTCCTGCATAAGTCAATCTTACCATTGTTAAGTTGTTTTGAAAGCTTTTCTTACAAAAACATATCATTCCTTCTCTCGAAGAAATCATTTTTTTCAATAGAAAACTTTCAGAATAATCAAAACAAAAAACGATGAGATCTATTCATGTGTGAAACTTCACATCAAACCTATGTCTTACAGTCTGAGACTAGTTGGGTTGTATGAGGTCAATAACTGAATTAATCATCTGACATATATTTTGATAAACATACAATTAAGATATAAGAAAAAAAATTAATAACAATGTATTTTTAATTTTTTTCTGTTATGTTAAGTGCCTAGCTTAAAATCAAATAGAGCTTTGTTTCATTAGAATTTCATAAATGAACTATGATGACAAGGCTTCAAGTTTCGGAAGCTACTATTTAACAATGTCGTTTTATAAGAGCATATGATGAGAGATTACCGCATTTTGTATTCTTCTTACAAATAACATTATTAAAAAATAGCTTTTAGGACCTAAAACCTTGCCATCATAGTTCATAACATATTTTCAAAATTAATGATATTTAAAAGCCTGCAGAATCTAACTTTTTGATTAGCATATATATATTTCTATCAATGCTACTTATTAATAATAATTTTTCTTTGACAGTTTCTAAAAAGTAGTGTATTTTTGTTTATTACTTAACATATGAAGAATAAACTTGGTCAGTCTATAAGATTAAAAGTATTTGACTATTATACTGATGTTACTCCGAAAAAAAAAATTCTTCATAATCACTAGGATGGAATTGGGTTTCGAAGTCTGATTCAAAACTCTAATGATATTATAAGATGAATGAATATAGATTTTCATTAGTTAACTCTATCGATAATAATGATTGGTTTATCATCAAATTTTTGAACCATCGATACGATAAGATAATGATAGGTAAGACATTTATTTCCAGTAAAAAAATTGTCGCTGTTAACTATGAAGACAAGAAACCTGATCTTGATTGATGAAAAAAAGTAACCTATGAAATACAGAATGAAAGTTTATTCTATCGTTCTGACTAACTATGGGTGCAACAGCATCACAAATTGACGGAAAATATCAATCAAGTTTTGGAACATTTTATGATCTTAAAGCAAATGATATTGATGGAAATGAAAAATCTATGTCTGATTTTCGAGGAAAAGTTCTTATGGTTGTTAATGTAGCATCATCATGTGGTAAAACTGATCGTGAATATAAACGTTTAGTTGATTTATATTCTCGTTATCATGATCAAGATTTTGAAATTTTAGCATTTCCATGTAATCAATTTTTATATCAAGAACATGGTTCATGTACAACAATAAAAACATTTATTAAAAAATATAATGTTGAATTTCCTATGTTTGATAAAATAAATGTTAATGGTAATGATACACATCCAATATATGCTTGGTTAAAACAAAGTTATCCTGGTCGAGTAAAATGGAATTTTTCAGGAAAATTTCTAATTGATCATCATGGTATACCACGTGCACGTGCAAATGATAATTATGAAGAAATTGAACAAATTATTCAACGTTTATTAAAAGAAAAAAAAGATGATGAAAATAAAAATTAATAATTTAAAAAAAAAAATAATGCTTTTTTTTCCATTGTGATACAGTTTGTTTTTTTTAAAACGAGAATTTTTTTTATTTTTATTTTTAAATATGAAACCGAAAATCATATAATTTTTTTTTAAAATACAATAATAGACTTAACTATATTTTTTTTTCTATCCCTCAAGCTATTCATATTGTCAATCAATGTAATATTAATTGCACACTAATTTGTAATAGAAGAAAGTATTAAATAGCAACAAAAAAAAAAAAAAAAACAAGAATACGATCCATTATGACAATCTAATCAAGTAGTTTCTTTTTTTGTGTGATATATTGAAAGACAGTACATGCCTATTAGGATGCAAGAAGGAAATTCAGTTATTCAAGTGGTATAATGCCAGAGGGTGAGGAAGAGAAAAAAAAACGAAGTGTTACATGCCGTCTGTTTTCTACTTGTCATAGAGACGTGTATTAAAAAAAAAATATGTATTGAAGCATTAAGGAATATTTCGATGTGATGATGACAAATAAAAGGTCATTCGATGATGAGTAAGTTTGTTTAATGATTTTTAAAAATTAATGTATCTAATATATGTTATGAGTAATTAAGTAGAAAAGTGAATGATTTAATCTTTTGATGAACATAATTGGGGAGGAGAAAAATTGTAAAAGAAATTATTTTCTTAGAATTGTTGAGAGAAGTTTGAACGAATCTTTCAAAAAAATAATCTATTTCGATTACTACAAACAAATTTAACTGAATAGTTTATCTGTAAATAGAAACATTTTATCAAAATCTTAACCATTGTTTTTTAACAACATAAGTTGCTAGATAATGGATAATTCATTTAAAATATCGAATGATTTATCTTCATCTTTTGAGAGAAACTTGTTCAAATAAAATAAAATATTCGACTTTAATATGAATGAGATCAGACGTTTTCGACTTCGAGCTTGAGACCATCTTACTCATATTTATTTAAAACACATGAGTCATAACAATATGACATTCGACGCAAGTCTTACACAACCGTAAAAGTTATTATATCCAATGAGAAGATGTTAGTCTTGGTCGCAGTCGAAAAAGTTTGGTCTTAGTTTCAGTCCTAAGAAAAACGATTCGTTGCCGTCAAAAACAAAATTTGATTTCATCCTCAGTGTCCATATCTAATTACAAGACTTTGCAATCTTAAAGCATGATAAGACTTCTCCGATTGTAACATCTTTTAGATTTATTGTAAATTTGTGTTCTCTATGGGAAAAAGATTTTAGATACAATATACCAAGGTGTTATCATCATTCATTTATTATAGACCGTAACAAATAGAAATGTCTGATTCATTTTATAGAAAAATATTACTTTCAGTTTTCATATTTCAATACTGAACATCAAACTTGTTTCATATAATTGATATGATCAAAAACTAATTGTCTAAATGTTGGAATAAAACTGTAATCTCACAGCTACAAATAGTGACTAATGAAAAAAATAAAGAATGACAAGAAATTGTTCAACATGAATAATGTCAAATTATTCCCAATGAATTTCTAATCTTAAATTTTTCTCAAAAATCAAACATCGTGTACATTCGCCTTTATATTGCATTATCCATTTCTATCAAATTGAATTATCTCTTATTTACTTATCTTAATCGATATTTCTTTTTCGCATATACAAATCATGTCTTGTCACGATTATATTGATTACCATTACCTTTGATAGACTTTCGACTGTTAGCCAATAACGTCTAATATTCTAAACTATCTTGCCATTGTAAACAACACACAAAAAAAGAAAGAATTGATTAGAATGAATCTTATGTGCATATATTTTCTTTTTTCAACCAATAAATCAACATAATTGTACTTAACAACATAAACCAGTAGGAAAGCGTACCATATTTTAAACTCATATGATGACATTGATTCCTTAATTTGTAATACATAAAATTTTCTCATTACCTCATCGATGATGAATGTCAAACATGATCAGAAATTATCATGAGAACTGCATTATTTTTATTTAACCAAAACGAATGAGATCATCACAAGAATAGAAAAATGATTTGTCAATTTTCTTTTTTTTCTCATTCTGTTCATCTTTGATCTCCTTGTTTTGTATATAAACAGAAGAGAAAAATTGATTCATATTTCAGAATATATAAAAATATTTTTTTTTGTTTTCACCAATTTAGATTTAATATGCCAATATTAAATAGTGATTTACGAAAAGAATTTCTTACATATTTAAATCAACCTGAATCATGTGAATTATTTTACATGTATATGAAATCAGAACAATTAGAATATGTACTTGAATTTTATTTAGCATGTGATGGTTTAAAAAATTTAATAAATGATAAAAAAACTCAATCATCTATTATTACACTTATTTATAAATATTATTTATCAAATAGAAAATCTTTATCATCATCAAAAATATTTTCTCTACCAGATTATTTACTTTCATCTATAAAACAACGTTTAATTAAACATGAATATCATGTTAGATTTTATGAACAAGCACAAGAATATGTTCTTAAATATATGTTACAAATGTGTTATCCAAAATTTTTTATTGAACAACAAAATTTACCTCAAACAAAACGACAAGCTTTAACTATATCAACATTTAGTCCAATGTATAAACGTTGTATATTTACAAGAAAAAAAGATGTTTTTGAAAAATTCAAACAACAATCAAATTCTTCAATTAATATTAAGTACGATCTTTTACTTTTTAGACATCTTATCCTAGTAATTAACAGTGGCGTACGCAGGGGGGGGGGTGGGGGGTGGGGGCCGG